CAAAAGGACCTACTTCGTTTCAGTCTAAGCAAAGAAGAGGAAAAGGCTCTCGTAGTACATGATGCCTGGGGAAGATAGACGGAAAACTTCCACATTGTTTGTCACGTGATCTATAAGCCTCCTATACCAGCCCCACCCACAACAAGGAGCTGTGAGCTGAGCTGCAAAATTCTTTTTGTAGCTCCTCCTTTTGTTCTTGGCTTCTTCTCTTGCAGACCTCGGCAGAGAGGTCCAGATGCTTTTAGACAAGAGACTGGCAGACTATTTTAACGAGACATAGTGAGGAGTAAGCCATAGACATGTAGCAGCCTGTGGTATTCAGACTGATAATTAATGTCTCTCCCTTTTATAGCTAATAGGCGGCAATACTCCTACGGGTAGGCTAACAATCCATGTTCTCTGTTGCTCCATTCTCAAATCCAGTCTATCACATCAGTTATTCTGTTTGGGCGAGAGGAGGAGGAGAAGGAGGAGGGTCTGATTGGGGAACTGACAGTGTACCTGACTCGGAAATAAACTCCCCGGTGTTAGATAGGATCCTGTTCACAACAGAAGCTGGTGACATTACACCGACTGTCAACAGTAGCTCTGATATCGAGGAGACTAGTCTAACACCTATTGCAAGCCACAGAGTAGTGAGGGTCCATTCAGATCAAGACTCTGCCATACATAGTATAACTCTGCCTTACCTGCAGCCTCTACCTCCTCCTGTTTCTTCCAGTAAACAAGCAGACACAGGAGACTCTCCATTACAAAGCAATAGTAATTCTCCATCACAAAGCAATAGTAACTCTCCATCACAAAGCAATAGTCACTCTCCATCACAAAGCAATAGTCACTTACCATCTGAAGAGACTGACATTCTCCTTACGTCATCCCTTGTCCTGTTACCTGAGAGGGAAGACCACTTTCCAACTGAGTCCCTGGACTCTGGCCTATGCTCCACTTCCAGTCTTCCTTCCACTGACTCAAGCATTCGTAGACTATCTGGAGGAATGGCGGCTAATTCCCCTAACTTGCCTAAGTGGCGAGGGCAAGCAGCTGTAGCTGATATTAATTCTTTTGGTAGGCCCTCTCCACAACAGCATTCAAGACAAGGAAAGATAGCTAATAGCCAAAGAGGAAGGTGTGCAAGATGTGGAAAACTGGTATATTTTGGTAAGCTATCCCTTTCATGTGTGTACTTGCATTCTTTAGATTTTTAATAAGCGAAATCATGTTAAGCACTTAGCAGTGTAGGCTAATTACTTAGCAGTATAAGCTAGTAGTCTCAGTATTAAATTAAGTGTGTTAAAAGCCATTTAAATGTTCGATTGACCAGTCAGTTTAGAGTAGCCCTGAATGCATTGTTATTGCTCTCTTTTGTAAGCTCTTGCAAACGACTAATCCTCTACTGATTTTGCTTATGGCACTGCTTTGAATAACAATTTTGTTATAATTTTATTATAATACTTCATTACGTTATCTTTTGTATATAAATTAAGTTTTCTACAGAAATTTATAATGAGGGAAATAACCAAACAGCAGCAATCTTTAGATAATCTAGTGTAGTATTGACAAGAGCGACACATGATCCTGTTATTTTAATCTTCTTTGTTCTTATTATTAATATCTTCCCCCGCTCCCCGCATAACAAATTGCCCCCCGAGACCACACCTTTTAAAAGATTAACCACACCTACCTATCTCCGCTGCGGTCCCGTCATCCATCCTTTATATTGGTGGGCATCGTCCTTGCTTCTTCTCTTTTCTCTCGCATCTGGAGTCCTCTTCCTACGCTCTTTCCTGCGCTTTGTATGCGCATCAGGGCTGCACCCATTTTTATACAGTGAGTTACTCATAGGAATGAATATCGTAGTGAAAGCGGGCCCTCAGGGAGATGGCCAAACAAGAGTTCAGTATGGGGTCCTGTCCTATCATGATTATGTATATTACATGTACATTTCCTAATGTTTGGGTGTGTGAGTTTATGTATGTACAGCATCTTCTCTCTATTGCTTTTCTCTCTCTCTCACTGTTGTGTTCCTGTTAATTGCTTCAATGGTGTACATTCTGTCACTTAGCAGTTTCACTGTTGTGAACATTGTCACTCTGTATATAAGGAGAGGGTATACTGTCTTCCCACAAAAAATATAAATCTTGTGTGTTCCTCCTTAATGGAATTTCTAGCCTTACACTCAATGCAAAGAATTTACATTAAACTGGCTGCCAGTATTATGTCTAGTTTGGATGCCATTAACTCCCTCTTGTTAAAAGAAAACAGTCACATGAGGAGGTGGAGAGCCGTAATGGGAGGCAGTAGCTTGCTGCCTGAGAGCAAGAAGAGTGCTGATTAATGGACCGGGGAAATGTTGAGAATTCTTGGGCAGAGTTTATCTAAAACTGTCCAATTATTGGCCAATAGACACTTGTTGATATGCACTTGCATACATTCACTATACATGTACATGCATACATGCATCCACTGCTGTTGCTGTTTCTTAGAATTATTCTAACTAAAAGTATACACAACCATAACATACACATGTGTACTTGTGCAATAGTTTGTTAGTAGTTGGTCCATATCCTTTTGGCTACTAGTAGTGCATGTACATTCTGTATAATACCTATTATTATTATTATTAATGTTATCTTATGTAATAACTCTTGACTTCATTGTTTGTTGTTGCCTTTATTGATTATGATAACATCTCCCCTTTGTGAACGTGTGTCCTTAGCACTTATCTGGCATTACCCATTATTATTATTATTTAATATATTGCTACCAGTTCGACAGCTTACATAGCTGTTAAGTCACTAGCTAGAATAATTATATTTTAAATAATCAAAGATTATCCACTGCTTTGTGTCTGTAGTGGAGTTTGTTCTCATGGGTCAGGTGTCCCCCTACTGAACTCTTGCTATTTTTATAAATTGTGTGATTGTAACCTCTTTATGGCATTGAACTTTGTCTTTTTCATTCAAGACATCAGCTCATTTCGTTAATTGAATGTCTATAGTACCTGGCAACGATCACTTTGGAAAAACGACAGTCATGTCTAAAATCAAGCGAAACGTCTTAGGTTTCGGCATAAAGAAGTCCCCAAAGCCCACAAATGGGATTGTGGACGAAGGTAATAGCACATAGGACAGTGGCCAGTGGAGAGGATGTATTTATTTGGTTGTGTATAAGGATGCTTTGCTGTTTGGTTGTGTATTTAGTTTTATTGTGTTTTCTTACTGACCACAACTTGTAGAATGATGTCAGGATTGCATTAATTATCTATATCTTTTCTTCCTTTTCCCCTCTCTCCAAATCTTTCCCTTTCTATTTCACACACACGCACATTCACAATTGCATCATAACTTACTTTCTTTCCTCTCTCTCTCTACTCATAGCTGAGAAAAGGACAGCCATGGGTCAGCAATGGCACCAGAAGTGCTTCAGGTGTACGACCTGTGGTAGATTCCTAGACCCAGGAAGACACTGTGAGGTAATGATGCATTACTGACACTGACCTGTCTATAATTGAGTTTGTACATTATAGCACGAAGGCCAGCCCTACTGTAATACTTGTTATCAGAACCAGTTTGGTCCCGATGGACTGAGGAGTGGGACAGCTATACAACCACGCCCTCTTTTAGACCCACCGCTCACAGCAGAGGAAAGGTACGGATGATTTAGTTGTGTTGTGATAGAGCTCATGTGATGATTGTTTAAGTTAAAAGCAATGTTTATACGTATAGAGAGAAAGTTTTTATTGTTTTTTTTAGAAGCGACATACTCTCGAAAATAGAAACGTACAATCTTTACAAGGAGAATGCAATAGAGACCATCAGACACAGAGAAGCAGGAGACAGGATATTCTATGAAGGAATCCTCAGACTTTACTGGGGACTCAAGAGACACATTGTGCTCTCCAGTGGAGCTAATTACGGTCGACAAAGAGCCAGGGAGAGCTCTTATAACTATATTTCGATTGATGATGAAGGATTTGATAAGATGGTGACACAGGTATGATATATATTTCTTGATGATTTCATTGTGTGTGTCTTCTACTCTTCCTGTCTCTCTTTTATATTTCTGTCTTCTTCTCCTTCCTCTTTCTATCTTTCTCTTTCTCTCTCTCTCTCTCAGGCTGACTCTGGAGACATTAGCAAAGATGAGTTACAGAGATACATGGAACTAGCTCAATACAGCCTAGGAACTGATGAGCTAGTGAAAGGATTGTCATTAGAAGGTCAGCACCACTAGCTGCTAGCACACACACACATTAGTAGTTTTTGTAGTAACATCTTCATGTTATGCCCTTTTATGCATAATGCATTAACTAATGTCTCATATGTTAGCCTTTTCTAATGGAGAGAGTGCTACAGACAGTGGAGTGGGCACAATTACTGAGGAAAGTGATGATCCTAAAGAAGAGTATGTCATTGGTAAGTCCTTATGCCTCTGTGTGTACATTTGTATTATTCAATGTCGGCTGGAATGAGTTTATATAGGTGTGTATCTGTATGTATCTGTTTGTATACGTACATTCACTTTTATATTGATGATTCAGTAGGTGTTGACGATTCAGAGGATGATAGTTTACCGGAGGAAAAGTCCTGTCAGTCCCTCACTAACAGTCCAACCAAAGGGAGAGTCGTCCTAAGACAAAAGAGTGATGTCACCGATAGGATACCTCGTACAACCTCAGTAAGAAGGAGGTCAGCTTCCTTCAAGAAAGTGCAGAAGTACAAGCGACAAGAAGCCAGAGAAGAAAAGGTATGTGTTTATTATTTGGAATGGTTTCACCCGCCTCCTCACTCTTCCCTCTTCCCCACTCAGAGGAGTAAATTCATTCCTCCGTACGGTAAACCCACTAACCTAAGAGTCTCCAACTTGCAGAGGACACCAGAAGTCATTGACATGCTCCTACAAAAATACAACGTAAGATTGCAATGACTTAGTGATCATGGATAGATACATGAATGCCATCCACACAGGTCGAAAATAAATCCAGTGAATTCTCGTTAATGGTAGTCCATGATAGTGGAGCAATGGAACAGCTTGACCCGTCCGACTCTCCATTGGCCATCAGATTAAAGCTTGGACCAAGTGAAGTATGTATTTTTATAATAATATTTAACAAATGCATTTGAGTTAATGGCATTATCACTAGGACGTTGCCAAGATTTATGTGATGGAAGCCAGTGATTCTGCAAGCATGCAACTCTCACAAGAGGTCTGTGTAGTCTAAGTGTACATAGTGTTAATATGATACTGTCTGCTACCAACAGGTTGCCGAGTACATTAGGTTCCAGTTACCAGAGCTAAATATCTTCCTCAAGAAATTCGACGAGGAAGAACAAAGAGAAAAAGAAAAATTGAGGAGAAGGTAAGCTGCTTCTCTTATGCAAGCTAGTTTGTATTCACTTTTATACTCTCCCCCTCTCTTTTGTAGGTTTGAGATTTGGAAAGATGCTATCAGGGAAGTGCAATCACTTTGATTTTGGTTGTCTTCCTCTCCTCACTAGCAGTTAACTCTCTTTTTGTCCTACCACTCTCCTCTCTCTCTCTCTCTCTCTCTCTCCCTCTCTCTCTCTCTCTCTCTCTCTCAAATATGTTTTAAGGAACACTTCACATGTATTATACACTCCTCCTAGGGAATGATGTTTAAGTATTGATAATAATAATATTAATAATAATAATAATAATAACTAGTATTGTGTTTTCATTATTATTGTGTAATTTTTGTGGTTTATAATAATTATTATTCTCACCAATAATTTAACTTGATTATTACTTTCATTATTGGGCGTGGTTAGTTTTAACCCTTTGTATTCTAGAAGATTCTTGGCCATTCTTGAATAAACTTGTCAATTGTCATTGTTCTTCTTTAAAGATTAGTGGATACTTTATAGCTCTGGCTTGTTTTTTGAAAGAATTATAGAGAAATGTTTGGCCTACTAGCCTCTGGACGCTTGGTAAGTACTTTTCTTTTGCACTATTGAAGTATTAAACATTATTTTACTCCATTGTAGGTAGATACTAATATTCAAGATGCTGGTGGAGGGCAGTTTTACTTCACGCTGGAGCAAGTTGAAGGTCTTAACCACATTGTCGTCTTCCTTACCGGTCAAGTTCCTTTCTCCGAGGGTTTTGCTGGCGGTATATATTTTGGTGTCTCAACCGACCTGGGAGGGATAGCCTGGCAATATTTGGGTTTCATATCAAACGAGAAACCCAGCGCCATTTTTAAAATATCAAACGTCAAGCCGTCGCCTTCTGCCGCCAATCCTTTTGGTGAAGCCATGATGGCTAGCCTTGAAGACATGAGTTCTACTACAGCACTTGTTGGGATATTAGTGGAGCCAGCTGCCCACATTGCACAGCTTACTCCAGCTTCAAACACTCAGGCAACTAGCATGGACTCATTTACAGAGTTTTCTACCAAAATGGTCGAGAATTTCTTCAATTATGCATCGTCCTTTGCTGTTCTCCCAGCTCAGACTCCAATCAATCCAATGGAGAACTATGTCCCTCTTAGTGTCCTCCAGTCCTGGTACGAGACTTTCGCCAGACGACTACAAGCTAATCCTAACTATTGGAAAACACTTTAAAATTTTTGTGTTTCAGTCATTGATGTAGCAGTATTTGATTTTTTATCCAACTGTACATGAATTGCAAAAAACCTTTTCTTTTGTCGTTGGGTGGAGCTGCCTCGAGCTCGCCCACGCATGCTAACGAGAGATTATGGGCATGCGCAGAACGCAGTACCGCGCGATGATTACCACGCCCATCCGACATCATAGGCGTGTTTCACACATGAATGTCATGATTTCATGATTGGCCTGCAAATAAAAAGATGTACTGGTTTGATAAGGTGTGTTGGAAGGTATGTCTCGTCCTCGAGTGAGCGAGAAAGGTATGTATGGTCTGTATATTGCTTAAAATAGTCTTCTCTTTTACACTAGCTTCATCAAAGACCCAGTCTCTTCATTTAGCCCTTAACGACATGTCCAGGAATTACTCATCTTCTCGTACTAGTGGTGGGCCTGTTGGCCGCTCTATCAATAACGATCCAGGAGTAGGAGGAGAGGAAAGGAGCTCTAGCAAGAGGGACAGCGTAGATCCCATAGACTCACTTACCATTAGGAGCAGGAAAAGATCTAGAGAAGATTTCTCATTTAAGAGCTGCTTTACTTCATGTAAGTATTCTAATGCCCATAGTAGCATTTATTAGCACTTATGGTACTTATTAAAGAATATTCTGCCTCAAGTCAAATTAAATACCAAGTTCTACACGATTGGTTTTTGATTGTATTGAGATAAGTGTTTGTTTATAAGCTGGTTGTAGTAGGCCCTAGTCAGGTGGAGTAGCTTAAACATTCAATGTGGTCATTCTTCTGAAAATGACCCTTATTCAATGTGTGGTGTGTGGGTATGCCTCTATAAAAACTAATCGTTATCCTTTGGTAACTGACACTTAATGGCATTCTGCATATGAACAAACTCATTAAGTCTTGATTGCTTTACATTACATAACTGACTCCATTGTCTTTAACTATAGCACCTCCTATCAGACTTGCTACCAGCTGCCTTCCTCCTATTAAATTGTAAAGAGACTTGTTTATTGTCTCTGGTAGAAGGAGCACCTATCATACATAGTGTTATCATTATCTACAGTATACAATTTGAAGGAAGGGTGGGTACAATTAAAGGGTGGACATTATGCTTGTTGAAAAATAGCCTTCATTGATGTATGTCATACTAGAATTCTTGCAATCACGTGATGCATGTACACAGCAGTCATGTGATTTTGTTTTTGTCATCTCTCTTTCTTTTCTTCTCAAAATAGTCTGTCAAAAACTCTACAATTTCACAATTGCTTCTTGTCAATATTCTTTCTGTTACTTTTGTTACTCGAAAGTTCGGAGGGGGAGTTACCAAAATATGGAAAATTTTGAAAATGAACCTGACGGATCTACAGAGGTAAACAACTAGACATTATTGTGGTAAACAACTAAAAATATTTGCGTAGAAACTTTTCATTGTTATAGCCTTTTTTCTCATTAGCAATCAGGCTATAGTTATTTTTGTATTATTAAGCAGCAAAACCTTAAAAACAATAACATCAACTACATCCAACACTTATGTAAACCTCTCTCCTAATTTGGCTACCGAATTCCAATGAGAAATATGTATAATAGTATACAATGATAAAATATTGAAAGTGAAAATTAACTGATGTTGTTATAGGGGATAAGAGCCGAGATAGAGGCAATGAAATCCGAATTGAAGTTCCATTTTATGAATCCGTTTCAAAAGTGGAAGTACGATAAGAGGAGGCGTTTTCCATGGAAACTGCTCGTACACATGATTGTCATAACACTGGTGACCATACAAGTAAGGACAATGACATCAATATTAGCTATAACTGTCCCTCTCTCTCTCTTTCTCTCTCTCTCTCTCTCTCTCTTAGTTATGTGTTTGTGCCGAAGAGAGGAGAGAGCTCAAGACATTTGTTTTTAACAACAGGGACACGTTTAATGATTTATTTATAATTGTGAGTAACCCGGCCAACATGTACAGTGTAATTTATGTCACATTCCTCCACACACACACACACACACACACACACACACACACACACACACACACACACACACAAACAAACAATTCCAGAAACCAATTGCCAATGACAGACATGATCCCTTGAATTATTATGGCAAAGCCAGTGCAGGGACTATCAGAAAGATAGAAGATCTTTGGGGACAGATTAACCACACTATTATTACAGTAAGGAATAAGGAGACGTGTACAACACTTTTAGATACTAATAATGTCCATGTGCAACATCTTAATTTTGTCTTCTGTAGTATTATTCAATCAAGACGATTGCCATTGGTCCTTATCAGTATGGCTCTGAAGATGATTCCAACACTCTCCCTCCGCCTCTTATACTGGATTTGATATTATTTGATTACAAAAATTCAAGTGGGTCTCATGGATTATACTGTAATTTTATTATTGTACTTTTATTGTAGCCACCACTATATCAATAAGTAAAGATGCTGATATTCATGAATTATTGTATGATAATGGTGTATCAAGGAGTGTTACAAAGTGAGTAGTGACATACATGTATAACTGTTGTTTTGTAGACACAAACATAATTTGAAGTGTGTATCAGAAAGTTTGAGCTAATTCTGATCGCAAATCTAAAGTTCAGAGAGACTTCAGACCAACTCTGACTAAAATTTTTTTGAAATAAATAATAAGTTGTTATTATTAATTATTATTCTTTTTTTCTTATAGCATTGATTCAATGACATTTAAGTTTAACTTGAGCTCATTTTACAAGGACCAGAACTTTTATTTGTGCGCTACCTTTCACATTGAGGTTAGTAACACTTTAGCATAATTTACTGACACCAAATGGTCTCAAATCATTTTCAAAATATAATTAAACATCTGCCAAATTTTAACAATGGAATAGAATTGCCCGTATCACGTATTAGGCCAAGAGTTGCACTTTTATAATTTGAATATTATTTCTCTGTGTCTTTGCCTCGCTTGTGTACTAGATTGAATTGAAAAACAATGTCATTGATGGTACAATGCCTGTTTACCTGAGAGCTGAGTCAGAGTTTGATCCATGCGAGGATGATGATGGTGATCAAAAGAGATTGAACTATAGAGGTAAGTGCAAGTTTACTTTAAGCCATTTCATTTCTTTCTTTGGTAGGCTCCACTCAGCATGACTCCGTGTTACTTGCTGTACTAGGCAGTCTTGTACTCCTGTTCACTATCATATCTACTGCACAGTGCATTAGATCATTAGTTACTTCTGCCAGATTCACTAAGGTATAGTAGTTGAATTTATTGCAATGGTGCATTTATTTAAAGTCATCCGTTAATTTTTTATTATTTGTAGAGAGTCAAGAATTTCTTTCTCAAGCATTTCAACTATAAGCTCTCGTTGTCAGAGTATCTTCCATTGTACAATGTCTGGTTCATGGGAGTTATATGTAGTAATGTATTAGTAGTCGTGGGTACTATCATGTTCCTGTTTACTGCATTCATTAATGTGAGTATTATTGACCCATTTCACCATGTTCTTCTCCATTGAAACAGGAAGGTGCATTATTTGAACTGAGCGATGTCAGTAGCATCATCTTTGGCATGGGAGTCTTCTTCCAGTGGCTTGGCTTGCTGAGGTTCCTGAGCTATTTTGATAAATACAATGTATGTCCTTATGGACTATTGTGTGTGTGTGTGTGTGTGTGTGTGTGTGTGTGTGTGTGTGTGTGTGTGTGTGTGTGTGTGTGTGTGTGTGTGTGTGTGTGTGTGTGTTTCTCCAAGTCTTTTCTGAGTGCATGATAATGGTGCTTGTGACCACAAAAACAGACCATATATGTACATTGCTATCTTCTGTTGTATTAAATTATTCATTTAGATACTGTTGATCACATTAAGACTGGCTATACCCAGTGTCATTCGTTTCATGGTCTGTGGTTTCATATTTTATGTTGCCTTCCTTCTTCTGGGCTGGCTAGTATTAGGACCCTACCATCCAAAGGTACATCATAGATCACTAACGAACATACGAATATTTTTATTTAAAAATCCTTTTCTGTAGTTTGCTGATCCATCAGTGACCTCAGAGTGTCTCTATTCTCTCATCAATGGAGATGACATGTTTAATACATACATACAAATGGACAGCTCCTCTTTCTCTGCTTTCATATTCTCAAAGATATATCTCTACGTGTTTATTTCACTCTTCATTTACGTGGTGCTTTCAGTGTTTATCTCATTGATATCAGACACTTACGAGACATTGCATGTAAGTTGAAAAATGACTATTGTTCCTCACACGTCTCTCTCTCTCTTTCTCTTTCTCTCTCTCTCTCTCTCTCTCTCTTCCTTGTAGGAAGTATGGACTGTAAGGTCACGAGGTTTCTTGCAGGATTTTGCAAACGACTGTCTGATTGAGACGACTGATGAGGGACAGACCAGTCAAACAAATATTGACAACGACTTTGAAGTTTTAACAGGTAAGTGTAATTCCAGTAACTATTTGGATTAATAACGTGTTAATTGGAAGGATCCAATCGTGGCTCTACTGATAATTCTCCTCTTCTTCATCGTCCAGTCACTACTTATCTTGGTCGTAGCGGCCAGTTTAGGACCACCACTCCCACTGTTCATCTTCACCCAGCAGCCAATAGCCCATTAGGACAGACAAGAGTAACAGCAAGTTATAGTGCTATTAATAATAATAATAATAATTCTTCTCCTGAAATGGAGCGAGCACCATTGCTATATCCTCGACTTACAGGAAGGTTAGTTTGAATAGCAATCAATGTTCTTTTACCCTTTCTTTCTCTAGTCGTAATCATGTTTGATCATCTTCTCAATGCTGTGTATGTAATGTATGTATGTACATGTATATTCAATCAAAATTATAAACTAACTTCTATCAGGAGTTCTGTATTGTCTTATTATTATTATGGGACTCTGTTGCTGGTACTTTTGTGATATTTTTGTGCTGATTTCGATCAGCTGCACTTAATGATATATTTTTATTACTTTAAATTAAAAAGAAATTAGCTTGATGAAAAAATGAAATTTTTAGTGACTTTATTACGCTCACGGGATTAATGAAGTAATTATTTTTAACCCCTTCAATGCTGTTGCTCATAACAACAAACAATGGCGGACAAGGTAAAGATTTATGATAACACTTGAACCGGTCATGCAATCTCTTTTCTGGTTCTTTTAGGTCGATATAACCTCCTCCATCATTGCTATAGCCCAAGAAGTAACCGGAACAGATTCATCTCTCGCGGATCACGCCCGATCCTTCCTCAAACTGAGGGATCTTCTCAGCGACAGTAGCCTCAACTTCACAACATTAACTGGGGCCCACTACCTTATTTGGAAGTGTGATTTGCTACATGTCTTGGTCGAGGAGTTACGGGTTGACTTTACGCAAGTTGACGTTGGTAATGGTTGGTATACTGGAGTTATTTTAGGTCGATTATTGAGTAACGTATGCAGTAACATAAAACCATTGGAAAGGAAGGAGGGAGAGGAGGAGGAAGAGGAGGCAGAGAGAAATGAAGAATTCTATGAAATGCTACTACCAACGGCAGCCGACTCTTTCCTTATTCTAGCTAACAATATTCACGAGTCGGACAACTCTTCCCATTCCATTTACTTGGATCAGTTTGAGGCTGTCACAGATGCCCTTATAAGACTGTGTTTCGCTCACAACGACTGCATTAAACGAGTGATTGAGTCATCTTACCTCTTGCACCTATTGGTATCAGATAATGTCGACTATTCCCTTTCGATAATGAGATTCCTTCAAGAACTGGTGAAAATAGATGGTGAAATCATTGAGTGTGTCAGCACTAAGATATTAGAGAGCATATTAGATGAGCTAGTTTATAAGGTTGGAGGACCACACAAAGAACTGGCTATCACGGGGCTGAGGCTCTTAGCAATACTCTCTAGTTATTCTGTGATTGTTGTTGAACTAATTAGTGAGAAATATAGAGGGTTCTCCCTTCTACTGGAGAAGTGGAGCCAGACATCAATGGATGCCTCAATGGTCAAATTTGTGAGCACTTTACTGGAAAGAGTGAAAGCATCCGATGAGGATAGCTCACTCCAAAAAGCAGCTGTATTTATTCAGGCTGGCTGGCGTGGATACGCCACGAGAAAAAGACTACAGAGAATGAGGAAAGGTTTTGTGTTGTTGCAGAGATTAGTTCGTAAGAGAAGGAGGGACAAAGAGCTAAAGAAACGTCAGAACAATGGCTTAAGGAGCAGAGAAATAAGAAAAATGAGAGAAGAGAGAGAACATGAAATGGCACTGCTCGAGTCAATGCCAGCCTCTTCAGTTGCTAAGTATTTGACAGATCAAAAGAACAGTGCAGCAGTTATAATTCAGCAATGGTGGAAGAGTAAGAGGAGGAAGAGAGAGCAAGTTACAGGCCAATTGGAGAGAAATAGGAGTGCAGTAATTATTCAGAGAGCCTACAAGAAATTTATAAAGAGAAAGAATGAGCCAAATCAAGAAGCAAGGACTAGTAGACAATCTATCAATCCTGTGAAAAGTCCAGATAGGACTAGCTTAGCCAGTATGCTGGACTGGTTTTATACAAGCAGAGCAGAAGCAAGAGAAGAAGAAAGGAAAAGAGCATTATTGCTAGCACAGGTATGTAAAATAGTAATTTCTGATTTTAGTAGTAACATTTTACTGTGTGTCTATAGTTATCAAGTCAGTGTAATTTACTACTCAATATGCCTTCACTTGCTGACTCTACTGTTGGCATTGAGACAATGTTTCTATCTGGTTCTTCGCAGACTGTAGCCTCAATGGCAGAAAAGGCTCACTCTGAGAAGATAGCATCGCTAAGCCTTCCATTATGGAAGAGGTCACATGAAAAGGACAGAGTATAACTTATTTTATGTCCTCAGCAATAACTTATTAACCTAACTGTACTGTATCTAATTGATTTGTATTCATAATACATGTAGTTTGTATGTCTCTTGATACTTTATTAAATGCTCTCTCAAAGGAAAACATTTTTGATTGTGGTCTACCATCTACATTTTGGGTATACAATGGCTCGGATCTGGTCAAAATTTTCAAAGTGGTACCTCATTTCATCTTCAGCTTTATTGGTTCTCATCTGGGACTATCTCATATACTGGAACTACTTCTTGATTGGTCATTTTGGGGGCAATTATTTTTCAGAGGGCTTTGCTTCTGGCAGCTGGTCAAAGTATGGCTTTTATATGATATCATGTCTAGGAAACCTTTTCTTCCCATTCTTTGGTCTGTTAACTGATGCATGGATTGGAAGAGGTAATGCTGTGATGATTGGTGCAATGTTTTGCCTTTCATCTTGGATCACAGCTGCCACTGGACTAGTCATACATTCGTATTTGTATCAGTCTGTACATTTTCTATGGTTTACACTTGCTGCTGGCACTTTTCTTGAATATATAGGATATACAAGTTTCAGAGCTAACATAATACAGTACAACATTGACCAGCTTGTGGGAGCTTCAGATATTGACTATAACACTGTCATTTTCTGGCATGCTGCCTCTGTACAGCTAACTGCTTTAATATACTATCCTTTACAGTGTATTTTTCTTGATGATAGCAGATACTTTATCACAACCATATTCATAGTGTCAGGAATTTCTGTATCTCTTGTGCTGGTATCTCACTCATTATTCAGGCATAAACTGGAAGAGAACATGTCATTGATGAAAAATCCTATTAAACTAGTTGTTAGAGTATTGTGTTATGCCAGGAAGCACAAGTATCCTGAGAATCGTAGTGCTCTGACCTACTGGGAGGAAGAGGCTCCTTCAAGACTAGACCTGGGTAAGGAGAAATATGGTGGACCATTCACAGAGGAAGAGGTGGAAGATGTAAGGACTGCTTTACGTATGCTACCATTATTTATTGCTGTGTTTGCATTTGCTTTAAGTGATGACTATAACTGGTATATCAGTAAGGACTCTATAAAATTAATCTCTTGCTTGATTCCAACTGATTTTGGACACAATGCATGCTCAGTTATATTACTGCTGGCATATTTATACCTGATTAGAGTCTTCTTCTATAAGTATATTCCTAACATGTTGAGTAGAATGAGTGCTGGACTGCTGTTTGCTTTAGCCACCTCTGTTTCGAAATTGATAATTTTCAGTTTTAAGACACTAACTAACCTTGCACACAACAACCTAATTTTAATTGTTCCACAGATACTCTATTCCGTATCATTTATTCTACTCTATCCAGTATCATTAGAGTTCACAGTAGCTCAATCACCAGTACACATGAGAGGAGTGATGGTTGGAATGTGGTATGCTGCATCAGTCGGTCTTGGTTACCTGTTAAACATTGTTCTGCAGTTTCCATTTAATTGTGAGAACGAATACATTTGTACAAATGTCTACTACTATACAACAAAGAGTGCAATAGTTCTACTGATTCTGATAGTGTTTGTTATACTGGCCAAGCGTTACAAGTATCGTGTGAGAGAGAATGAAGTTAATATTGTTCAGATAGTTGATGATCATTATCAGAGATACATGCAACAAGAGGAAAAATATCATAAAAACTTGAACTAATTATTATGTCCATAAATTTATTTTAAAATTAATATAAAATAAAATAATGCCTGTATTTTCACAAGACACGTGAACTCACGTTGCTTTTACTCTAATTATAAAAGGGAATATTGAAAAATAAATGGGTGTGGTAAAACTGGTAATAAAATAATTAATTAATTGTTATGGAACCAATATGGACGTTAAGTTTTTTCTCTCTTGCCATGTTTCTAGGCTGTTACTTAGCTGGATCAATACCTTTACTGCTCACACTCTCAGAGGTACTTCAAATATAAGTTACAGAGTGAGGGAGCCCTTTGAAACGGCTGCACTGGATAGATATTTACCTCCATACCACTCATGATTGGCAATGCATTTTAAAGTTTAAATTGACAACATACGTATAATATAGAACTATATGTGTTTATATGCATGTATTACTCTCTCTTCTGTTTTCAGAAAATACTGAGGAAGGTCACAGTGTTTGGTGCTGGACTGCTGGTTGGTACTGCACTAGTGGTCATTATACCTGAAGGAATAGAGTCCCTTTACAGTGAGCCAATAGTACTCTGGGTTATGGTTTTAAGTCGTACCTCATTTTCTATTCGATGCCAGTAGTAATAGTAATAGCGGTGTAGTAGTATTTACTACATAGTACTAATATATATACTAGTTATACACTTTTGTTCTATTAAGCATCATTCCACAGGCAGTTCACACAGTCATCACACTCATGATAAAGACGGTGAAGTTGAGACTTCCTCCTCCAGCTCCCCTCCTTCTTTCTCACTCTCTTCTGAGTCTGCCTCCATTGGAGGTGAGGCGGATAACGAGAATCTAGAGTTTCTCCTTGGCCTCTCTCTTGTGCTTGGTTTTGTGTTCATGCTGGTTATTGATCAGTGTGGATCTCATTCCCATTCCAGTGGAACAGGTATGAGCGTTTTACATTGCATTACATGGAGATTACATGTATGGTTGTAGATGTGGAGGCTGCATCTGTTAGGAGAAAGGGTGGGATCACTGTTACTGTAGGACTGGTTGTACATGCAGCAGGTAATGCATGATGACTGAATTGATTCCAAATATCAATCACTTTTCATTTTCTTGTAGCTGATGGTTTGGCATTAGGAGCAGCTGCTGGTTTATCAAAATCTGATGTTGAATTTGTTATATTTCTCGCAATTATGCTCCATAAAGTGAGGGCTTACTAATTTTTGAGTTATAGCTGTTTTAAAAATTGAGCCCATTTCTTGTACTATAGCCCATAGTTTTTTTTCAAAAAATGACTTTAAAATCATTCTCTATTTTTATTACATTTTCTGATACATATTGATGTCCTTATGCTATGCAGAAATTTTGAGTTGACTCCAAGCTCAAATTTTCAAGTTATGGCCATTTTAAAAAGTATCAAAATTCTGAAAAATACCCAAGGCTATAGCCCATGGTTTTTTCCGAAAAATGGCTCTGAAATCACCCCCAATTTTTATTACATTTTTTGATACATATTGACACCCTTATGCTGTGTAGAAAGTTTGAGCTGATTCCGACTTAAATTTTTCAAGTTATGGCCATTTTAAAAAATGAGCAAATTTCTGGAAATTTCCCTGTACTATAGCCCATGGTTTTTTCCGAAAAATGGCTCCAAAATCACCCCCAATTTTTATTACATTTTCTGATACATATTGATGTCCTTATGCTGTGTAGAAAGTTTGAGCCGATTCCAATAAAAAATTTTCGAGTTATGACCATTTTAAGAAATGGGCCAAACATCTTGTACTATAGCGCATGCTTTTTTTCAAAAAAGGCTTTGAAATCACCCCCAATTTGTATTATATTTTCTGATACATATTGACTATGTAGAAAGTTCGAGTCAATTCCAACTCTTTACCTCTGTTCTTGACCTATGTCCTCTCTCTCTCTCTCTCTTCCTGTTTAGGCTCCAGCTGCATTTGGATTTGTTACGTTTCTTATTCATGACGTTAGTCGTATTTTTATTTTTTGTCTTTTAATAAACCATTATTTGTAGGGCTATGATAGAAAGACCGCTAGGTTTCATTTATTAATATTTTCTTTGGCAGCTCCTTTAGCTTCTTTTGTTTCTTATTTTGGACTAATTAGAGTAAGTGTGTTATTTTTTTACTATATTTGTAATGTGGTGTACTACTTCCCACTAGTTGCAATAAACTGTTATTGTTATTAAGTAGACCTTCCCACCAGTTACAATAATGTATTATGTTACTGACAGACCTTAGTCTACTACTATTTACTTTCCACTGGTTACAATAAACTACATTATATATTATGTTATTGAGTTGTCCTTCCCACAGACCCTAGTCTACTGAAATTGTATGTGATCATAGGTTAGGTATGAAATAGTGTATTTTTCCTTAGGTTATGTACTCTACTTCAATTCCCATCACTGGTATCACAATGCTGTTCTCTGCTGGCACATTCCTTTATGTAGCAACTGTTCATGTTCTCAATGAAATCTCCCGAATGTCTCCAAACTCTAGACTATCAATAGTTGAAGTTATATTGCTAGTGATGGGTAGCTTGTTACCATTATTGTTCAATGTCACACACTCTCATTAACATCATAGTTCCTACATGTATGTACAAAGCATATAAAAATTGTGACAATTTTTTATTAAAATCTTTGATACTTATCAATAACCATATGCTGAAGTTTAAGTCATTTCAGAGTAAAATTCTTGAGTTATGGCCATCAAAAACAAGCCAGATTAAGCAGATTTAGCTCATGCTTCTTGCCCCCCCCCCATCCAAGAAGTTTGTGTTAATTCAGTCATGACTGTTTGCAGTGATAGTCAATTCTGATAATTAATAACAACAAATAAATTCTAGTCATCACTAATATTATGATGCAATAACAACAAGCATTATCAATTAATGAGATCATTAATGTATTATGTATACAAGGTGTAGTTTTAATGTTTTGTTTGGTCTCATGACAAAAAACTATCCATGAACTCTGCTCTTCTCGTAAACATGATTGAATTAGCAATCTTTAATATGATGCTCTGAACAAGAACTACTGATAACAATTTAAACCAGTGATCAGTAAACAGTGCTACAGCATATAATGTGTGTGTGTGCATATGGAGAAAAGGAAGAAGGAAAGTTTGACATCTGGAGTTTTACACTTGTTAGTTTGCTCACTCATTATCTTTATCTCTCTCTCTCCCTCACTCTCTTCTTCCTAACCTCTATAACACTGGAGCTGTGCCGGTATATAAAACAGTAGCAGTATAGTTATTGGAGTGTAGCTCTCATGGATCCATATGGTAACAATGACAGAGCAGTAATCAATGAAATGGGATAATACTATCACACGTAGAAACCTGTTCAAATCTAACCTAATGATATAGAAGAATGTCGTCGAGAGGCTATTTTTAGCTTACTTCGAATGGCCTATTTTTAGAAGTCCCTTTGCAATAAATGAAGTCAGACATATGATACCAAATTCTGCATACAAGTCAAGATTAAAGTAACTTGTCAATATCTAAGTGTACCTGTAAATGCCATAGCTAATGACAAGTGGAAGTTTAGATGGATGAGCGATGGAGTCGTCGCAACATATCTACATGACTCTATATATCCGTGACAGAATAATAATACAAATAATAGTCTTAATAGCAACTGAAGGAGAGAGAAAGAATCACAAAAATAATCATGTATCAGGTACTTACTGATGTACTGATTTCATAATTGAATATTAGGTGTCTGTAAGATTGGATCCTTAACAGGAACATGTCAAGTAACAGGATTACTCTATCATATTCAATGTACTTGTCAATAAATTGATGACAATTGACCTATGCAAAAAAATTAATGAGCATCATTAAAATTTATGCATTCATTTTACATTGAAATGCTCACACATTGGTTAAGCTGAATTGCACCAGGCTTGTATTCTTTATAAAGAGATTGATTGTTGCCATGGCCACATAGCACACACACTGAAGTCACAGTAGACGGCATTATTTTTACTTTGAATTTTACTATTAAAGTTTTACGCCATTTTGGAGTGATTATAAAATTTTAGACCCCACCCACAAAATGGGTGGGGCTGCGTCACTCAATGCAATAAAAAGACCAAGCTCAGTCAATTCAAAATAACTGGAGACAGAAAGCAACAAAAGCCATGGGCTTTAACGCAGAGACTGCTGATAGTTCTGGATCTGTCGTTTGGGTCTTTGGCTATGGGTCTTTGCTGTGGAAGACAAACTTTCCCTACAAGAGAAAAGTCATCGGGTTTGTCAAAGGATACGACAGGAGATTCTGGCAGGCCAGCGTCAAACACAGGGGAACAACTGAAATGGTGAGCCAACCACTGTATCAGCTGTCAATATAGTTAAACATGTACAAGAGGAGTCCTAAGTATTAAAGAATTATTGTTATGTAAACAAAAACTTTGCAGCAATAATGACTGATGCAATGTCTATTATTATGATTCTATAGCATCCTTTTAAATTAAGCTAACAAGCCAAACATACTGTGGTCATCATGATGTCATATGTACATCATAACAGGGTTGGCATACACTTGTTTCACGACATATTATGTCTTTGCTTCTTGTTTGATGTAAATAAATAAAATTGATTTATTTACATACATGTACAAAGCAGATCAAATGTGTGCAATTGTGTCCCCCTCCCTTCCTCTTTCAATCTTCCTTCTCCTTATGTTCATTTCTCTTTATTCTCTCTCAATAGCCCGGCCGTGTTGTTACTCTAGTCAAGAACAATGAAGTAAACACTACACACACACATACACACTACATCATTCAATACTGTTTGTGACACTTCAAAAGTACTTATTACCAATATCTTTTGATGAAGTTAACGGGAATTCAGAGAAATAATGTTATACTCTAATGCACAACAACAGAATCACAGCATATGATCACAGTTATGGAACTGCTAAGCCTATTAGACATCAAACAATTCCCCATGAAATCATAAACATCTTGCATAACTTCCCCATCCAGCACGTTGCTATGTACATGTACATTATGATTGTTCTCTGTTATACGTTATAGGGTGTTACATGGGGCATAGCTTTTGAGGTAAAGCCATCGGATGTACCCGAGGTAATAGCATATCTCGATAAGAGAGAGTGTGGTGGTTATACAACACAAGAGGTTACCTTTCATCCACACGATCCATCACATAGAGAACCCTTCAAAGTATTGGTATACATTGCCACCGAAAGCAATCCAAACTATCTTGGACCACAGACTATAGAGTCGTTGGCAACAAGAATAGTAATGAGTACAGGAGAGAGTGGCCCTAATACAGAGTATGTCCTTGAGCTGGCTAAGTCAATGAAAGAGATAGCCCCACATGTTCCCGATGAGCATTTGTATGGCTTGAGCGAAAAGGTCAAGAGTCTTTTAAGGACTTAAGAAGAAACTTAAACACAACTACATGTATTATAATTCTAGATTTTATCACATAAGTTTTGATGTTCATTTTCATATCATTACATATTGTAAAATTATATATATTTTTTTACTTTAAGAAATATCACAGTGTCTTACGTATGCTAAAAATCCTTACTGTCCCTTCTGTGCCGACAACGTTTGAAGTAAAACCACCACCTTGAAGCAGCTGCTTCATAAATAACTTGACCTTGTCGTATCTTTCTTGAGCTGAGAGCAATACTAGTACATCAGGACTAGTGCACAATTCATTCAATGTATGTATAAGTAGTGGATATGTCTCCTCTATGTAGATAATATCAGAGCCTAATACAACATCAATATGTGATGAGAGAGGCAATGGTGATCCCCATTCATAGAATAGTGGAGTAATGCAAGATTGATTGAGGTGGTCTCGATTCAAAGAAAGGTTCTCTTGGATCATTCTCATTTCCTTGTCAGTAACTGCTACACTCTCAGCTCCTGTAACAAATGATGTCAGGCCAACACAGTACTATAACGGTCTCACCTAATGTTGCTGTTACCATGCCCACGAGACCTGTACCAGCACCTAATTCAATGACACTTCTTCCTTTGATGAGATGATTATTATCAACAAGATAGCGAGAGAGAATCAATGCCTAAAACAACCACAGGTTAGGAGATAATAAATACAAAAATTAAGATAAAATTAGAGCCTACTCACTGATTCCCAAATAACGCCAGCTACTCCTAATTGGTTCCAATCCTGCTTCACTTTCCAAGTCACTCCATTTACTTCAAAAAGACGTACGTCTTTAGAAAAAACTTTCAAAAATGATGGCTGCGTGTATAGAACCAGTTCTTTATTAGACTGGTCTCTATCAGTCATTACAACATTGAGCAGCAAATGGATAAAGAGAACAATAGTGAACACGTTTGAGCACATGGGTATCAGACCATGAAGAAATTGTTTCTTTATGTTTGAAGTTACATTTATTCGGTAAATTAGAGCATACATACAGTATCTATGATTAGACTAGAGTCTGACAGCTGCCAGCTGGCCCAGCAAGACTAATCATGTGTTCACACATAGATATTGCAACGGTTCACACTACCTCCCCAGCTGTATTATAGAACTGCACCTAATTAGTTATAAAAGAGCCATGTTGGTAGCAGTTCACACTGCACAACTTAACTTTGAAACTTAACTACACCATTTCAAAGCACCTATTTTGTATCATGTGGATGCACCACTTTGGTTTGGTTACAGTGCAGTTCAGTTATGTTCACACTTGTTATAGTTCTGAAGGGTAGTGTGAACAGGGTTAACAGGCTACAGTACTACAGTACAGCACAAAACTCTAAGCCTGCAATAAAAAAGTGACAGCAGAAACAAAACAGTGAACTTAAAGTGGAGCAAACAAAATACAGACAAAAACTCAATCAACTCAATAAATAAGACACAAAGTAATAACAAATAATAATGAGCATTCCATTATAGTACAAATTTAGAATGAGATGATTAGGAGTGAGAAAAAGAAATCTAACGTTTATGGCCAAACTGATTCGTAATAGATGAGGAGTAAATGGATAGTAATGGATGATGGATGAGAGGAGTAAATAGTAATGGATGATGAGAGGAGTAAATAGTAATGGATGATGAGAGGAGTAAATAGTAATGGATGATGAGAGGAGTAAATGGTAATGGATAATGTTGCAAGAGATACAAAGACACTGTTGGAGCATTATTTAGACAAGAAGGCTGTAACAAGGGCAGCTCCTACTCCGACTGCTGCTAGTGCTAGCCACGAACCTCCGCCATTTTTAGCGTCAACTATATCTCCTCCAATTTTATTCGAGCTGAATCTGTCTGGTACACTTGCCCAGCCTTTCTGTTTCATGATGAATTGACTCAAGTTCTGACATATGAAGGTTATTAGCCAACCCTCTATGCTCTCTACAACATGACGTGATGTCTTGTGGGCCTTGTAAGCAACAAGGACAGCAAAGGATATAAGGGCTACGATCCTACCCCAGTTTATGCAATCGGAAAACATTGAATGCATGGTGCTGTGAAATGTGACGCACAAGGCAGTTTCAGATATATCTAGCTGTTCCATGTCTCTCCTAATCTGGTCACTGTGTAGTCTTAGAAATTGCTTACAGGCGCCCATTAGACTGCTATAAACCTTCCTGTTCGTTTCTGAAGTGAATATGGGCTCCACATGCCCACCGTTTAGCTTGAGTCCTTGCTCCAATAGGAGACCGTAAAAGGTCTCGTGTATTATTTCTTTCGTCTGGTAGGCGAAATCAGTATTAGCTAGAATATTGGAGGCTTGAGTTGATGATGGTGTCCACGTGGTGTCTTTCTTCCTACGTTCTTCTGGGACTGGAGAAGTAGCTGTCACATGTCGAGGTTGTAGTGCTACCGCCATTTCTCAAAATGGGACTTTTTGTCTAACTAAGAAGAATAAGTGAGTTTTCTGTTTAGTCTTCTCGAGTCTCGCTTTAGATTTTTGCGGAGTGCAGACTTTTGTTTTGACGCCTTTGTGATATTCGGATTCCGTACACTTTTAGTAATTTTAGTGGGTGTGATTAACCATAATTTCTCCGCCCACTTTAAATAAGTCGTCATCCTGGTCTATGTGTCTTTCTTTTCGTGTCCTTCTGTCTTCCTGCCTTTAGACTACAACTCGCTCCTACTTTCAAAGTGAGCCAGACTATACTCTAATATTTTCTAAACCCTTTTATATTATTTAAAGTCTCAAAAGACTTCACGAATACCTTTCTTCAATAGTTTTAAACTGGCTAGTCTACGATCAAGATACAAGCCCTCGACTGCCTCTCCCAGTTCTACTCCTTTTAGCGCTCAGACCTCTTTCCCATCAACTCCCTCGTCCTCAGACCCACCACCAGTTCCCATCATGTCCACTGGTAGGGACAGGACACTTGAATTTGCTAATATCGTCAAATCTTTTCAGCCAATTAATGTGAGTATGACATTATGTACAATTATAATTGTTATTTTTGTTACGATGGTGGTTACTTTATTTTTAAAACAACAGGGTGTGCATAAGAGACTCTCATCTCCACCCACTCATGGTAAAAGGTCTGCTTTTCATGCAGCCGCCAAGTGAGTTTGTTATAATAATAATAATAATTATTATTATTATTAAAAATCTCTAATTTCTGTTACTTCATAGAGAGATTGGCCGAGAATTAAATAGAACTGTTGCCAAATTAGAGAAACTAACAGAACGTAAGTACATGTACTGACAAAAAGAATGATGTTCTTATCATGTACATAATGATCTATTATACATAATAACAAATTATTTTTTGTGTTTCAGTTGCTAGGGGGAGGAGCTTGTTCGGTGACCCCGCCCTAGAGATACAAGACTTGACCCAATCAATCAAACAGGATCTCTCGAAACTTAATTCCGACATTGCAGCATTACAGCAATTGTCACAGACAGTTAATTCAAGAGAAAGCAAGCACGTTAAATCACACTCTAGTGCTGTTGTAGTCTCCCTACAGGTAATTAGAACTATGTCTTACTATTTTTTATTTTTTATTGTTTTTCAGACAAGATTAGCTGACACTTCCCAAAACTTTAAAAGTGTGCTAGAGATGAGGACTGAGGTCAGTGAATAAAATTAATAATTATCATTATTATAATTATAGATGTACATGTACAATGGTTACTTATCATGTACATGTAATGCCAAGAGTAGATAATAATAAGAGGAGAGTGTCCTATAGTGCAGTATGCTCCCTGTTACATCACGGCATAGTAATAGAAAGTCATATCATATTCCGGTTATTTCCATATTTTATTTGATTAGTTACTAAAAAATAACTGGCAATAACTACTCAAATAAAATATGGAAATGATCCTTTGTAATGTTGTGAACACATTGCAGAATCTAAAGGTACAGAAACAGAGACGTGAGCAGTTCTCATCTCCACTCACCTCATCACTAAACAATGACTCACCACTCAATCCTGCAATGAGTAAGTTAATGTATAATGTAGTCACTACACAATGTCCAGATACAGGGCCAATTATTACTATTGCATTGATGGAGTACATGCAGTATTACCATTTGTCATCAATTCATTGTGATTATTTTGGAGCAACTTTTAAAATTTATAAAAAATTTATTTTGGGTCAGAATCAACTCAAAATTGCAGCATAGCATAAGAACATGTATATGTATCAGAAAAAATTATAAAAATGGAGAATTTTCTTTTAGCCATTTTTGACGAAATTTGGTCCAAGATGTAAGGCTATAGCCTTTGGTCTTAGGCCCAATTTTTGAGCAACTTTTAAAAATTCATAATAAATCCAATTTTCAACAGAATCAGCTTAAACTTTTTACACAACATAAGAACATGTATATGTATTAGAAGAAATTATAAAAATGGGAAATTCTTTGGGAGCCATTTTTGACAAATACCCTGTACTATGGCCCAATTTTTGAGCTACTTTAAAAATTCATAAAAATCTATTTTTGATGGGAATTGATACAATACATGTACATGTATCAGGAAATGTAGTCTGTTACTAGTATTAATATTGTGACTCCTGAAATAAAAACATAGTCACATACGCAATAAATTGTTAAATGAATGCATGGAAAACTTTCTTATTGACTATTATACTGAACCTTGTTTTTAATTTTAGCAAATGGATCTTTATTATTGGGTACTGATGATAGAGGAAGAGGGGAAGATGTTAGCATTGACATGGGATCAGCTACTCAAATGCAACTCCTACAAGAACAAGTGAGTATATACACACTCTGAATTACCTATTATAATGACTTATGTTACTCTGTAAGGATACTTACATTCAAGAGAGAGCTGATGCTATGGCTAACATACACTCAACCATTGTGGAGCTAGGACAGATATTCAGACAACTGGCCACAATGGTAAAGGAGCAAGAGGAACAAGTTGTGAGGTAATTTGAACCCCCTCCCCTCTTTCTCTCACTCTCTCTCTCTGTAGGATTGATACCAATGTGTCTGAGGCTGAGATAAACATTGAAGCTGGTTATGGTGAACTATTAAAGTATTTTCGTGGTGTCACCTCAAACCGCTGGCTGATGGTGAAGATCTTTGCTGTGATCATAGTCTTTTTTATTATATTTGTCGTCTTCCTAACCTAACAATAATTCTCATAATAATAATAATAATGATAATAAATTATTAATAATAACAATATCAATATTGTGCAGTTAATTTAGTGATGTATAAGGGCAGCGTTGATATTGTTCTGCAAATATTGCACCCAATCTGATGATCCAGATGATAGCCATTATGTTTTAAAAATTTATAAATAAAATTTATAGATAAATATAGCTGATATAATATGAATAATAATTAAATTATATAATAATTAGAGAGTCAGGTTTTGAACTAGTTTGCTAGAGCATCAGATGCTCTTCTCTCTTGAGTCTGAAAGCAGGTGCCAGCAGGAAAGAAATCCCACGTTTGCTCCAGATACAGACTCCATATCATTGACTCCTGTTGTGTATATATACACAGAATAACAGGGCAATCAATAATAATTTTAATTTATTGTAGTCATACCTGTCCAGTAAATTCAGTGTCTGGCTTGCTGATCAAATGAAGCAAGAAGAACCTGTATATACAATAAAAATGAATTACATACATATCACATGGAGAAATAGCAAGTACATGTAGTCCTTAAGTGAATGATGGCGGTTGATGTGAGTATCAAACTCGTGGGGATTTTTGAAATCTGCAAGAGACAGGCCGCAGATGAAACACTTGTTTTTCAATTCTTCTAATACTAAGTCGTCTTTCTTCCTCAATTCGCCAAAAGCATCAATGATGAGACCTAGAGACACATTGGACATGGCATGGAGTCAGGAAGAGGAACTGCCTTGCCTTGAAAAACAGCCAACAAGATGACAATGACAACAAAGAAGTATGTCAAATCAAACACTAGTCTCCCCAAATAGACTTGGTCTTCAAAAGCAGAGAGGATAACATCAGCTAAAATTAAAAAAAAAAGACAAAATTAACAGTAAAGTCAATCGCATTGTGTACTTGCCTATTCCACCACCTGATCTAAGACCGTGATCAATGTGAAAGAGGAAGCACTATACAAAGAGAGTAAGAATAAAGAGGAGAAATTGCTTGACTTACTGTCAACATGTTTCCACAGTTGTCCCTCACATAACCAGACTCAACCTGTTGAACATAAAACTTTCTGAAGAAGCTAAAAGCCACAGCACTGTATATGTATATGACAACTGATGTCACCACTAATGTCATCAAAAGCTGTAGACAAAACAGAAAAGCCACACGTTTAGTTGTATTTAGTCATATTGTATCATCATACTTGTTTCATGTTGATTTTTAGAGAGCGAAGGACGTTAACGAGAGTTTTAGATTGGAGGGTCAGTTCGAGTAGATGAAGAGAGAAAAAGAAAACATTGTATTTGATTCCGGCCAAACTGAGTAGACAATACCCAAGGTGATACCTGAAAGTCTATTAAAAGCAATGAATGACAGTATAAATATCATAAATATACACACAATAGCTAACCATATCACTGAAGCATATCATTACTATCCTCCATGCCTGATATCTAACATCAATCAAAGAGGCTCTACAAAAAAACATTTAATAATAACGAATGACTTATTGGCAGGCTCATTCATTACATTGCATTTGATAATTGTTCATATCTTGAAACTTCATCAAACCTTGACTTGTTAACAATCCCAAGAGCACTTGCAAGTTTGGTCCTATTCTCTGAAGGACTTTTATCAAACACCTGATGTATCAAATATTAAATACACATTAATGATAAATTATTGGATAGTGTCAGTGTCCTTACCCTTTCCTTTATTTGTCTGTCCCAGAATCGTCTTGGGAATGAAGGAGATCTCAGTGCGAGCCTGTCAAAGAAAGAGAAGTGGTCACTTGTCACAGATCCTTTGTGTTTCTCTAATCTTCTTGCAATATTCTTTTCTTTTTGAAAAATTATAAGTGGTACCTATAAACATATAATCATGGAATTAAATGATCTTTAGTATACATATACTATACATATACACAGGATTTCCCACAAAGTATGCTATTGCAAAGTGAGCTGACAAGCACTACAATACAGTGCATGGCATTTGGAGCAACTTTAAAATTCATTTAAAAAATCCAAATCAGCTCAAACTTTCTACATAACATAAAAACACGAATATGTATCAGAAAAATTATAACAATGGAGAATTCTCTCATTGTAATTTTCTTTGCAATGCCTGGGTCTTTGACCCAATTTCTAAGCAACTTGACAATCCACTGACAAGAAGCTCCATGAGCAATGTGGAAAACCCTGCATATACATGTTAATGCTATTACTTTTAAGTGCCAGAATGATACCATCAATAGACAAGAGAGAACAAAGTGTAAGTGAATGGATAAGTACAATGAAATCGAATCTTCATTTTTATCAGCCTAAAAATTATAATGTACTCCATTACTACAGACAATATTAATAAATGTTGATGCTTTGCAAGCAGCATAACAATTAGCCACAAGGAGCAGAGAGACAATCATGCAATGACATACTTGAATTGAAATGAGAATGAGAAAATTGATTAAAATTGTCGTGAGAACAAGACAATATTTAATCATGTAGTAACTGTGTGCCAAATGACCTCTCAGAGATTTAGATGCGTACATAGTCCTTGGTAAATAAAACTGGGCTGGTCGAAAATATTGCATGAAATATTGTTTGAGGAATGAAGGATTGCTAGAGGAATACTTCAATGGACCTTGACCTCCATAGAAACAGAAATCATAAAATACTCTAAAACAATGAGAAGTAATGTGTCCATTTATTAAATATTGCTGAAAATGGCTATGAGTACCTGGTGTAATGTACCAAATGAGTGAGAGGTGCTACAATTACTCCAAGAATCAATGTAAACCAAATGAATGAGAGAAGGCTATGAGCTTTAAGATAGATGTGTCCAGGATCAGTAATACCCAATGACAGAAGCTTAGTTTGTGCAGAACTCAACATTGATCTACAAGGAAGGACGTGACAAATAAATAATAATAATATTCTTTCATGAAATTCCTACCTTGTGTTATACTGTGCTGTTTCAGGAAATTGAGATTTTCGAAGATTATCTGTTCTCTTCTCTCTCTCCTCTTGCTCCACATTAAACATCCTGTCATTATACGTCATCTAAAAAAGGAAAAAACAAGCATGGCAAAAGCTCATCATTGTACAAAAATTACCTGAAAAATAGTGTCTTCACAAAAATTCATAAACTCCCCTAGCTTTTCCTTCTGGCTGGTCCAATCAAAACTGTGCAGGAAATTATGTCTCGACTCCTAAATTTTTTGAAGATACCATTTTAGTCACGCTGTTAGACCCTATTACCTTGATAGCTGGGTCATTCCATTGCAATGCGTGTGAAGTCTTAATGTGGAAGTAAACTCGCTCAACATTTCCACTCTTTCCCATCATTTCAATGCAGCCTATGTTGTCCTCAAAGTACTCGGAGAGTTTGAGGCAATTTTTCTCTATTTCTTTTAGTTTTGGGTTCCCCGGCATTGTGTCGCTTAGCTGACGTATCAAAGCACACAAATGAAAACCTAAAAAACAATGATAAAATAATAATTAATGAGAATAAAAGTATATATGAACTAGTGACCTAGTTTATGCGTAGGCTGATAGAATCTCTCAGTGAATTCCTGATAGTCCAACAGTCCATCTTTATTAGTGTCAGCTAGTTTCATTAAATACTGTATTTCGCTTCTGTTTTTAATGAAATAGTAATTTGATAATAATCATTATAAATGCAGGTGGATCTGTGAGCCTGGTACACTTACTTAGTATAAAATTGCTGTGCTCTCATTGCTTGCTCAAATTCCTGATATGAAATGAGGCCATCTTTATTGAGATCATACTCCTATCATGTGTCTAGATTAATAGATAGTTCATAATAGTTCTAATTACTTTAAATGCTGTTGATGATGAAACATCTTTCAGCTTGATAAATATATTGTAAAATGTGATAAGTTCTTTCAAGAATTGATCAGACTCGTGAAGCATGTTTAGCATGTGCTCGCCAACTGCACTAACCTTTGTAGTACCTAAAAAGATGGAGTAATATTGATTTCAATATCACAAGAAGGTATAATAATAGACTCTACTGACCTTCAAGCATAGCAAGCAGTAAAATAAAGTATTCTTCTTGTAAGCCTAACAATTCAAGAAGGAGCTCCATGTGACTGGTGTAACAGAACAGCTTCTGCTGAAGGGCGACAAAAACATGCAAAAAGCCACCCATGGCATCCCAAAAACGACTCTTAGCTAGAGCTTCCTGGTTGCCAACACAAGGGCCCTGTAAAGAGAAGAATTGTAATCAAAGTGACACTTATCAATAACGTCTCTCACCTGTATATACTCAGTGAGTGTTCTGAACAACTGCTTAGCAACTTTGAATGATAAAAGGAAGGTCTCCCTAGCAGGAAGCTCAAGCGAGTCCTGCTTAGCGTGGTACCAATAGAAATCCCTGATTGAGTCCTGGAGCTTGAGGAGATAATCAACAGTCGCTATGACAATGTTAGTGGACATGGCATTGGAGCCTTGTGTGCGAAGAAGATTTTGAAAACCTGTGAAGATGTAATTAAATATAATTTAATATAATTTCAGTTTAATGGCCTATATACCTTCATTGTGTCCTTCACATAGCAATTGTAAGAATCTGAATAGGGCAAGTACTTGATCTGATGTGGGAAACACTCTTTCACCTAATACGAGAAATGATTATTATTAAATGATGTCCATGTAAAAAGATAACACTATACCAATGTTATTTTGATCCTGTACGACAATCTGAGACTTTTCATAAATATTCCAGTCAAGAGTTCTATAGAAGCAAAATTTATATTATAATTATGAAGCAAAGTCTTATGTTGTGTAGAAATTTGAGCTCATTACAATATCTTGATTCACTGCATATATCTTTTGCAGCCATAAACACTCTTATTGTATCTCTTTTGTAATGAATACATGCCATCAATAATAATCTTACCCAAAATGTGATATCAAACCAGCTATACTAGTCCAAAACTCACTGCCGAGGGATTTTACTTTCTCCATTATTCTCTGTTAATAAATGATTATACTGATTATATTAGCATTCATGATAAGGTTAACACACCTCTTGAGCTGAAGCGTTACCTCCTTCCAGTTGTACTATGCCCAGTTTCAAGGTAATGTGGACAAGAGGACATAGTTTACCTAAAATAATGAAGAGTGATATATAGAGAGGGCAAGATGGAAAGAAAATACCGTTTGAGGAGGTTAGAATTGCCAGTATCATTTCAGGGACTTTTTTCTTAATAAGCAATCCCTGCTTTGCGACCACTTGATACCTAATGCTTTCAAAATTCTAAGAAAACAAACAAAACCAATAAAATGACAATACTCATGCATGATTACATCATAAATACTGTTTCCTTCTAATTCTTCTGCATCATCAATCATAGTCTGAAATGTCTAAAAAAGAATAAAGTGATTGTACTATGCTATGGAGGGTTTCTCACAAAGTATACTAAGTGAGTTCAAATGAGCTGACAAGCACTACAATACAGTACATGGCATTTGGAGCAACTTTAAAAATTTATAAAAATTCAAATCAGCTCAAAGTTGATACACAACATGTACGTGTATCAGGAAAAATCATAAAAATGGAGAGTTTTATCCTTGTGATTTCTGTCAAAATACCCTATAGATAGACAGTGCTGGTTTTTTGGCCCAGTTTTTAGCAACTTGACAATCTGCAAGAAGCTGTACAAACAGCCCTAATACTATGCAATATACTTACTTCAATGACAGCATTAGCAAAGGAATCATAAAGATCAGTGCTGTTGCCATACCTACATTAAAAGAGTAGCTAATGAAAAATCTGGCAACAACAAGGCATTGACTGTTCATGTTATTCATGATACCATTGTCCTGTAGATGCTTGCATTCCCAGCAATGAGAAGAGTTGTTCCAGAGGATCAACATATCTATCATTAATTAAACTAATAACAGATGATCTGGCTTGTTTCTCTTGATAATACTCTTCTTTATCCTACAAACACATGAAATTATACATACATACATACATACATGTACATAAATCATAACTTACTATAATTTCTTCACAAAGATTCTCCATATTGAATGAATGGCATTGTGAAAGCCAGCTACTTGAGTACTCTTGCAAGAAAAGGTTCATTGCTCTGTGCCTAAAGGAACATATAAGTACGAGTAAATGCCTCACTGGAGGAGGATAATAATGCACTAACTTTTTGAGCCTGTGAAAAGGTACAGCTTTTAAACAAGCCACAATGCCCTCTCTCTTCTTCCTTGACATTGCATCCCTCCATCTTTCTCTCACAATGAGGGACGGTGTGACAATCTAAGAAGACAAGAAGAAGCAACTTTCACTCATAAATATCATAAGTAGATCTGGAAATGCAGGACTACTACTGATATTATTACTTGTCTCATGAGCCGCTGGACACGAGCAAAACTTTGAATAACAAAAGGAGCAGTCTTGTATGTCATGAGAATCTGTAATATTTCTCTTTTTTCCTCATCATGATTCCTTCCATTGAGCTTGACGTCAATACCAGTTCTACTGTCGCTCTCAGCGAGACACTTAATGAGGTCTAGAATAGCTTGATCTATGTCTGCAGATGATTTACCAGGCTTTAGGAAGGTAAAGTAAGAATAAAGGAGAGTGAAATTAATGTAGAAAAACCTACTTGATCAAACAGTGGGTTTAACTGCTGGAGAAACTGGAAAGCAGATGAAGGCAAATGTCGTATGATTGTCATAGCAAATGATATCAATATGTTCCATCTTTCTGTCTTCCTTCCTCTGACATTTTGAATGAAGCTAGTGCTGCATGAGTTAAGGATTGATGAGAATTTCTATGAAAGCAAGTAAAATCCCCACATTGCCCATTGTAAAGGAGTGTTGTGCTATGGCTTGTACCTGTGAAGTAAAATAGTGATTGAGAATGAGGGCAGTGTGATGAAATAAAGTCTTATTTCTCAGATCAGCAACAAGGCTGGGGTTCTTCTCAGTGAAGAATACTAAGAATAGCAAGACTGAGACCAAATCCTGTCCATATAATTTCAATCTCTACAAAAATAAATTGATAATAATCTTGATAATGATTATACTATTAATTTAATGATTTGCCTTTTCAAATTGTTTTTGTTTGATAAGGAGATCACTTTCTTTAATGCTCAGTGACGATGTTACAAGTTGCTCCTCTTGCCAGAGTCTTGAACCACGATCACTCATTTTCATCAACAACGGAATCAAATGAGTCTTGTATACAGGGATTGAGCAATAGCTGGCTAAGTGACATACTGAACCTATTGTGAGTGCAAGAAACTGGTAAGTATGGATGAATGGAGGTATGGGGAAAAAGGAGAGAAGGAGGGGGAGAGAGAAGAGAGAGGGAGAAGTAAAAGTACAGGATAAGTCTTTCATCCAAGTTGTTTCTTTATCACCCTGGTACTCTGAGAGGATCCTCAATACAAGCTTAAGGACTTTATCCACTTCACTAAAGATCAGTACACAAAATAGTTTCATACTCACATAAATATTACCACTTACACATTAGAGCCGTTCTTTGCTTCTCTGATGGAACGACTATAAAAATATTTATCAAATAATATCACACATTTAATTTATATCTTGAGTATACTTTGTCAGCACAGGTGCAATCACAAGTGCAACAAAAGAGATTTTCTGCGTAGAAAGTTTGAGAAGTGCACCACGCTTGAGTAGAAGCATAGCAAGACGATTTTCAAAGCGGGAACACTGAAACTTGGAATCAGCTAAGCACACTTCAGATAGACACTGCCCAATAATAGACAAAGTATCACTATAGTATAGGAGAGTGAGACAAAGATTAAGCTGTATTAATTCAGTAAGTTCTGTACCTTTCAATGAAAATAGTAATTTCATTACAAACAAGTGAGAAAACACAACTAAAGACATCACTGAATCGTGATTTTACCACTCCATTGACTGGACTCATAACAATATCTTCACAACGTCTAAAAAGAGCTGTCAGTGATGGAGCAAGACAATGAGTAACGTATAGAAAGAGTTTCTTGTCAAACTGGTTTGACTGGTTAGAGTTTATTTTATTTAATGACTTTTCAAGGGACTCTAAAGTTGAGATGACGTACGAGAAAAAACTTTTAGTTTCTTCCAAAACTCCAAACTGACTAAAGAGACAAAAAGACAATAGACAACAATCATAATTTTGAAGGCAGGCACATTACATAGTGTGGTTTTATTGGTTCAGTTGGAAAAGTATATACATTGATTGTTACACAATGTATGAGTGCCATTTTTGTGATAATTATTTTGATACATTAGTAATAATAATACTACTATTAATAATAACTAATAATAATAGCAAGTATTAGTGCTGGGCGATATATCAAAACTCACGATATTTAATCGATATAATGCGGTATCGATACTTATCAATATCGAAAAAATTCGAAGGAAATATCGATAACAAGACCACGCCCATAAAATGGTTACATAACCTTAATAAATAGTTAATTATTAGGAGTAACATCTCAAAGATTACTAAAATGTATTCTCTTGGAAAGTAGATGAAGTAGCTGAAGTATATGAAGCCAAAGAAGGTTTTTGGAATGCTTTTCAATAATAATTGTCCTCAGAAATAGCTTTATTTAGCCGTTTTAGTAATATTAAAGTTAATGGGTGTGGCTTAATAACTTATCGATAAAAAATATCGATATCTTCATTTTTAGGCAATATCGTATCATATCGTATTGTTTCAAAATTTTCAATATCGCCCAGCACTAGCAAGTATAAACAGTACGAATACATTAATTGTTTATTAAAGCAGGGCAGTTTGCCCATTCAAAAATTTTTTCCTAGTTTTAAACTACACCGAATCTCTAATTCGATACACCCTTCCCTGATCTCCTTATAAATGCATATAACGTTACAAGGCTATTATGGGTTGGACTATAATGATATTCATTGCTTGTTTCTGAGGCTTATAACACAATAGTTGTAATCTGATTATCATGTACTAAAATAAACAAATTACTTCTTAAACCACTCAGCAATAAGTTACTGTACGGGTATAAAATTTTGTGGGGTATAAAATTTCGTGGGGTATAAAATTTTTCGGATTTCATGGGTGACTTCTCAACCACAAAAATTAATACCATGGAAATGCTCACTGCGCATGTGCAGCACGTGAAAATCAATCACTTATTGGAAGTGCACGTGCAAAAATGCGAAAATTAACCCCCTCAAAATTAAAGAATTAAGAGCTTTTCACTAAAACACGAAATTTTATACCCTCGAAATTTTATACCCATACGGTATTCATGAACCTAAAATCAAGCAATCTGATTGGTCAATTAAAAACAAGCATGGCAGAAGTAAAAGTTATTCAATGAGGTGGATGTATTTATGACATTTATCATACCGAGGACCTTAGGCCTGAGGTATGATAAGGCCATAGATACCAAGATTACCGACACAGAGTTGTATAACTTTTACGTAGCATATATCAACAATATAAGCTCCTATGCAATGTATGTAGATGTACCTAACATCAAGGACTTTAATGAGACTCATTGATAAAGACAACAATCGATTTAACAGTTTCTGATTCCTCTCTTTAATCGCTTGTAATTCAGTATTCCAGGAGATTTCTCCTTTTGAAGTAGTGGCTTCCCCAGGTGCTACTGTTGCAGTCTTAGAGGTACTGATAAGAAAGGAATCCAAATGGCTCCCGATGTAAGAATGAACTTCAAAAAACAGCCTAATAAAAGAGAGAGGGAAATAAAGACCCTAATCTATACTACTAGACTTATTTATTATTATTATTATTATTATTATTATTATTATTATTATAAAGACAAACACAATAGGATGGCCGAAAGAGAGAGGCAAAAAGGGAAAGCCCATAAAAGAGAAACAAAAATTATTATTATTAGTATTAGTATTATTATTACTATTATTAGTATTATTATTATTATTACTATTATTATTATTATTATTATTATTATTATTATTATTATTATTATTATGAGGCTTTCTCTTGCTCATACTTTATTAATGGTATTTTCTCATCAAGGGTAGCAAAGGTGAGCCTCCTCTCTTCCCCCTCTATGTTAGGATTGAAATAGCTGGCGTGGGTATTGAGGTAGGAGCAAAAAGCAGGAAAAATCTCCTGTTTATGAGACTGACAGCGACAAGTATAACCAGCAGTGCAACAGCATTCATACCGTAATACTGTTAAGAAACACTCAAACAGCTAAAAATAAAAGAAAATATTATTATAGTATTATTTTGTACTAGCTGTTTTTATGCAGACTCATTGTACTAATATTGCATGAATGTGGAGTTACCTGTAGAGAGAAAGGCTTGCTGTCAATAGTTTTTGATAGCATGTACTGCATTGAGCCTGGTATAGCTGCAAATGGATTAGCTACAGTTAAACCTTTAACTTTCATAAACTTTAAGAAATCCTCAATAAGACCGTAAGACCTCCTGTTTGTTTTTTCGTAGTACATCAACCTGATTGGGTCGTAAGTTCCAAGATCACTCTGAGTGTCTCCCCTTTCTTCAACTGTAGGAAGCACTATATGATTCATTATAGTGTTGGCTGAACTAACAATGATCTACAAATTAAGAACAATCATTTTAAATTATGAGTGCTAGCTATACGTAATTTTACTCAACCCTTTTAATACATAATTTCTTGGCCTTTAGGAACAATTAGGTTCTTAATACTATTTACTGATATACACTTTGAATGCTATAGCAATAGTCATGAGTCTTCAGTGACATATCAAATACAAAGTACTAGCTCCATAATGCAGTGCAAGTGGATGGTGTGTCCATTATAATGTAATATACTCACAAGAGCGTGTAGTGGCAATTCTATTTGATCCAAATCTACAACTAATGGTTCGTATGAGTACCACGTATCAGGATCATCTGTTATGGTTCTTAATACCTAACAACAATGAGAACAACAACAACAACAACAATAATCAATAATAACAATAATAATAATAAACACAAAAACAATAGTTCACCGACCTTCTTTTTATTTGCCCCAAATAAACACAACAGTTTAGGCTTTAGTGGTATACTCTCCAATTGTCCCCCACCATTGCCTTCATTAAACACACAACCATAAAATAAGAGCACCTGCAGAACCTGTTTGACCTCATCAACCACCCTATCACCCAACTATAACAATAAATAAAATCATAAATACATCATTACAAATGTAGAGCTAATTCTCACCTCATCATTAATGTATTCAAAAGGTCTTAGCCTGTCATCATGATACGTATCAGGGTTGCTTACGTGATCATAAGACCAACCGTTTACTTGTTGCTGTAAGAGAAGAATATGAGTATTACAAAGAGACAGAATTAATGTCTTACCATTTCATATACCCAATTCTCGTGGCAAAACTTGGCAAACTCAAACACGTGGGAATGATATTCGCTGGAAAACTCAATTTGATCAATATAAGCCGATAGATTATTGACAATCCTTGTAAGAGAGGAGCCTTCATCCTCTAATGGAGGGGATGGAGTTGAGGATGGAGTTGAAGTATGAGAAGGAGAAAGAGTAGCAGTCTCCACTGATAGTGCCTTGAGTTCTGCAATAGGAGGAACTAGTATCTCTGGCAATATAGCACAAGCAAGAGATTCTAAACACTGGTTAATGATACCAGCAATTGATGCCTATATTAAAGAAAGTAAAGTTTAAGTATTTGCATGCACTAATAGTCTACCTCCTTAGCATGACAGAGTGACTTAAGAACCAAGCTGAAGAGGAGAGCTATGTACACTCTTTCCTTGTGAGATGGACGACATAATTTGTACTGACCTATCACAGACCCTGTCGTATAATAACGCGAGTGATGAGAATGGTGAACGGTCAGAATCTAGGAAAATAAAAACACAATTATAAGCAGCTTTTTCTTTGATTATGTGCTATAGGCAATTAATGCTAAACTCGGCCTTGTTCTCTCTCACTTCACTCACTTTGAGTGCTACAGTGAAGGAAGGCTTGCTCAAATCTTTAATATCGTCCATTATCATTGGCAGTAACTTAAGTATAGATGGAGGGGGGAGTGTCCTATCAGAAATGAAATAAGAGAGAAAGAGTAAGAGAAAAAAAGAGTAGCATTTACTTTGTCATAGTAATAAGAAATTGCTCTATCATTCTTCTGTGAGAATCAGTAGCTAACGCTATCAGTTGGTAGACCTCATGAATGAGATTGAGCAGTAATGGAAACTCTGACAGCAAGTCCAATGTGGAGGACTGATGCTCAAGATAAGGAAGAACGTGACAAGAAATATAACGTAAGTACACAAATGCATCATACTTAGTTTTCTTAGCCTTTATATATATAGAGAGAGGGGGAAAGGAGACAAAGTGTAAATGCACACTAAGCTTATATACATGCATGACATACTTGATGTATGGTAGCTTTTATATCAGGTAGAAAAGCTTCTCTAATGAGGTCTAGCACCAAACGCTTATCACTCTTTGAGTAGACACGATCAAGGAAAACCATCAAAGCCTCTTTGTGTGTAGGAGGCATGACGTTCATAGGGAGGGAAAGCAAGTCCCTTAGGTCCTCTAGTCCTATGAGTGTCCTTAGGAAAGGGAGTATATGCTCAGTGCTGTATTTGACTTTACGGGTGCAGCTGAAATTCTTCCTTGTGTCAATGGAGGGAGCACAGAGTCCAAGGACACGGACCAGTAGAGTGTAAAACGAGACTGTCAGTTCGGATGTTAGTGCACTGAGTTGTTTATAGAACAAGTTGAGAGTGCTTGACCTGTGTAGAGACCTTTGACGATAGTCAGACTGCGAGACCTGAGGTAACTCGGTATCAGAGGCAAGCCTAACGATGGTATCTGTGAGTCTGGAACTAGCTCTCGTCAGTCTCTTGGGTTTCTTGGTGGTCTTAAGTGAGTTGATTTGTGAAAAACAGGAGGAGAACATCTTAACAAGTGAGAGATGCTGGTTGATGTAGCAGGGCCCGAGGCAGTCAGGCTGCTGTATAAGGAGACGAATAATTGCAGCAGCATTCTCTTCAATAGTTTCACCTAAAGGAAGAAATGTCTCTATATAACTTGAAAAATTGAAGTCGAAATCAGCTCAAACTTTCTATATAGTATAAGGACATCAATATGTATCAGAAAATGTAATAAAAATTTGGGGTGATTTTGGAGCCATTTTTTAGAAAAAACCATGAGCTATATGGTATTTTTCAGAATTTTGATACTTTTTAAAATGGCCGTAACTTGAAAAATTGAAGTCGAAATCAGATCAAGCTTTCTATATAGTATAAGGACATCAATATGTATCAAAAAATGTAATAAAAATTTGGGGTAATTTTGGAGCGATTTTTAAGAAAAAACCATGGGCTATAGCCTTGGGTATTTCTTAGAATTTTGATACTTTTTTAAAATGGCCGTAACTTGAAAAATTGAAGTCGGAATCAGCTCAAACTTTCTACACAGCATAAGGACATCAGTATGCATCAGAAAATGCAATAAAAATTTGGGGTGATTTTGGAGTCATTTTTTGGAAAAAGCCATGGGCTATAGCCTTGGGTACTTTTCAGAAATTTGGAGTTTTTAAAAAATGGCCATAACTCGAAAAATTGAAGGCGGAATCAGTTCAAACATTCTACACAACATAAGAACATCAATATGTATCAAAAAATGTAATAAAAATTTAGGATGATTTCGGAGCCATTTTTTGGAAAAAACCATGGGCTATAGCCTTGGGTATTTTTTAGAACTTTGGTACTTTTTAAAATGGCCGCAACTTGAAAAATTGAAGTCAGAATCAGTTCAAACTTTCTACACAGCATAAGGAAATCAATATGTATCAAAAAATGTAATAAAAATGGGGGGTGATTTTGGAGCCATTTTTTGGAAAAAAACATGGGCTATAGCCTGGGCACTTTTCAGAAATTTGGAGTTTTTAAAAAATGGCCATAACTCAAAAAATTGAAGGCGGAATCAGTTCAAACTTTCTACACAGCATAAGAACATCAATATGTATCAAAAAATGTAATAAAAATTTGGGGTGATTTTGGAGCCATTTTTTAGAAAAAACCATGGGCTAGCTATCCTTGGGTACTTTTCAGAAATTTGGAGTTTTGAAAAAATGGCCATAACTCAAAAAATTGAAGTCGGAATCAGCTCAAACTTTCTACACAGCATAAGGACATCAATATGTATCAAAAATGTAATAAAAAAATGGGAGTGATTTTGGAGCCATTTTTTGGAAAAAACCATGGGCTATAATAGCCTTGGGTATTTTTCAGAACTTTGATACTCTTAAAATGGCCGCAACTTGAAAAATTGAAGTTGGAATCAGCTCAAACTTTCTATATATAGTATAAGGACGTCAATAGGACAATGTGTTATATAGTGTAATGCCAATTCTTCAAAGTTTCTGCTCCTCCTAAACTATGTGTACATGCAACATAAAGAGGACATGACACATAAACAGAGAGAGAGGATTACCATTAACATAAACTGCTGCTTGTAAGAACTTGAGACACTTTTCAGCACCAGTGGGCAGCCATTCCATGGGCATGGCATCATACAATACTGACATCTTGTGAATTGGACTTGAAATAGTGTTATTAGCAGTGCTGGAAGCCTCATCTTCATACTTCATCATCTTATGCATTAACTGTACCACCTTGTGGAGTATGCCCTCATTGGAGAGTGTCATAACTAGCTGGAGGTTGTTGCTTATGGTAGCAATAGCAACATCAAGAGGATTGGTACTATTGCTTGCTACCTGATCTAAAAGAAGAAAATAAAAAATAATAATTATTATTTATATTTTATTATTTTCAAACAACAGTGCTAATAAGAAAAAGGTTTATTTATTCATAACTATTATTTATCAGTCTTGGCTTACCAGAGAATATTAGACATTCGTCCAAGAGATACTGAAGATGCTCAGAGAGTGCAATTTGATTCTGATGACTAGTCTGAGCAAAAGAGCAAAGGAATTTGCAGCAGTCTTCAACTATATCAGCAAACCCTTCCTACAATAAATAACAAAAAAACAATGACAACAACAACAATAATAATAGATCTAATACAAAAATTATAATGTAAATGATTATGCATGTAAAATTAGTATAAAACTAATAGAGTGACTACTTACATCACTGACAGCTAGTTTAAGTGTCTGAGTCATGCCAACAAACCCACTGCTGCTCTCAGTGCCAAATGATGATGGGAATGCACTGGAGAGAGTCTCACTGAAGCTGAAGTAGCTCTTCATGACGTTGATGACAAGACTGTGGACTCCGGCAAACCTCAACAAGTCGGGATGACGTTGGAAGAGATCACAAGTACTCAATTCCCTACCAAGGAAAATGCCAGCATTAAAAATTATTATTACAATAAAAATGTGATTTATTCTTTATGCATAAAATCTTAACTTTATTTTAAAGATTCACTTACTGCAACAGCTCCTGGAAAACAGGCTCTTCCTCTTCACCAAACCCAACCACAAGCATCTTCCTCATCTTACCCAGTGCAGATCTGAATTTTGAAATCTCGCCGGAAGAGAACTCGCTGTACTGCTCAACAATGTACGTCCTCTGGATAGCTTTCCGGAGCATCTCAGACTCATTGAACTGTCTGTACAAGAGTTTGTAGGTTTTCTCTGCCATTTTGATATCAGAGATTGTGCTCCTGGACCATCTGAGGACAGTCGATATGATGACATCTCTCAGTTTGTGAAGACTAGAGGTGTCCGGACTATTCTCGCTCTCACTGGAGCTGCTCCTAACAGTAACCAAACTGACCAGTTTGGCTAGTTTTTGAAACGATGATAGGTCTGCCGTCTGATTGATGGACGATGGGATTCCGTTGCAGTGCAAGCTAAGGTCAGCGTGAAATGATTGGAGGGAGTCTTTAAGAGATTCACTAGTGAGACACGAGTCTGATGAAAATGACAAGAGAGTGTTTAACTAAAGAAAAAAAGACAAAGAAAAGGATTAGTCTTTTTACTACTTCTAACTAGTATATACCTGTTTTTCAGTTGGAGTATTAATCTCTTGTATTACTAGAGGAGACAGGAACTGATTAGGATCACTCTCCATCACTCTCTTCCTTTGATCCTCTTGTAGCTCTTCAACAAACCCACTGGCAAACTCTATGATATGATCCAGCCTTCCCTGGAGCTGTGCATCGCACAAATGATCCAATATATCACACAGCACTGACTGTATCTGTGGGTCCTTAGTAGGCATTGTTAGTATGTAGAAATTAGCCTTGTGGCCAGAAGGGGCTAATGAAGGGTGCAGTAAAGAGAGAAGTCTTTCAGAGTCTTGTAGCATTCCCAGTACTAGGAAACAATCGACAGCTTTAAGCAAAGGAAGAAAGAGGCAGTTGTTGTATTCTGCTGAAAGCATCCGGCAGGTCATGACGTCTGCTAAAATGACGCTGTCAAGAACTTGAAAAGTGATATCCTTGAGGACACTCAGTTGATAATAATGACAGGACGAGAGCCACTCCTTTTCTGTATTGCAACAAATTGTGACCGTACGATTAAGCAAAGAATTAGAGGAGTGTCTTCTTCCTGCATTATAAGAGGAGGAAGGAGAAGAGGTAGAGCATGATACACAGTCTGAGGCAAATATGGAGTCTTGTCTAATGAGCTGGTGCTCCAGAACCTTGTGCTCAAGGTAAAGTGTATTGACGAGATTGAATGACTCAGCAACTAATTGATAGCTCCAGTAAGAGGACTTTATTGAATGAACCAGCTCCTTCCAACTAACTATTTTATTAACCTATACAAATGACAAAAATATCATGATATATTAATAATGACAAAATATACTTAAGGGCAATGATCCTCACCATTTCAGCAGCTTTGGAATTATCATGCATGCAGCAGGCGCGATAGGTTCTAAGTGTTTCCACGTGGAACGAATAGAGAGATGGGGACTCAATCAGCTCCGTCAGTCTCATTACATTACCTTCCTGAGGCAGGCACAAATGAGTGATGTCATACGAAGGCATATTAGGAATATAAAGACAGGACTCTGTGGGATACAGAGAAGAGCGATCATCCATTTGATACCAGCAGCTATCAGAAATACTCATGAGTTTCATTGACGGTAGCAGATTAGGGAAAGTATCCTTGTAATATTTGCCAAGAAGAGCCTTGACTAGAGGCTGGCATCCTTTGGCTGGTCCAAATGAGAACGAGCCAATTTTAAGATATTTTGGTCTAGTGATTAGGATTGGGAATAATCTTCCAGGTGCTCTAACTCTAAGCTCAAACACAGCATTCTTGCTGTAAGAGAGACAAGAGAACTTCATTAATCCAGTGCTAGGATTAATCACACAGTCAACCCTAGATAATAAAATAATAATAATAACAATACTACTACTAATCTTCCTTACTGAGTATCAGTAGCTAAGTAAACTGATTCATCCACTTTAAGCAATGCACTCATTTTCAGTAAATAAGCTGCACACTGATGCTTTCTCAGTACATGCTCCTTACCAGTAACTCTAAATGAGCTACTCTCATCATCATCATCATCTTCTATTGGCCATTCTTCGATGGATTCTAGCTGACTACGTCTTTTCTTAGTGCTAGTAGTCGAGTTTGTATTCATTCTTCTCTTTACGCCATCTTTCATTGTATCTCCTCTAGAAAAGACATCCTTGACACCTGTTTCTTCAAATTCCTCAAACATTGCGTCTCCAAAAGGGCTGTCACTATCTGATATCAGTTCGATGGTGGCATTAGCATTAAGAATGAGGTCATCAGAATGAGTATGAAAGTCGTTTGGATCGTACAAAAAATCTTCTCTAGCCCAGCCAAAGTATACAGCTGATGGTGCTTCGCCTGCTGGCAGAGTAACTGAAAAAGAATACTTCTCTCTATCATCATCATTCTGACTTTCCTCTGAGCCTCCTTCTCTCTCATCCACCGGATCATCTTTGTCCCTCCTCTTGTCTAGGGTCATCTCAACTCCCATGTTAAGTCGCAGGCAGGTCAGTTTTGCCTCGTTGCTATTGACAGTCAGTTCATCCTCTTTGGTCTTTGTGATCTTGAGGTACGAGTGAGAGGGTGTGATGTCTTTGAACTGGTGAGATACGTGTGAGTACCATAATGGTATCCTAACTTTTATATCACTGATAACAAAATAAATGAGATTATAATTACACATAATAATGGTTACAGTTACTTTTCAATTGAGCGGTAGCCAGCAGTTATATTGCGAGAAGAAGAGGTTTCTTGATCCTAAGAATAAATGAAGGTAGTGATATATATAATATCTTTCTATCTCTCTGTACTACTTTACTTTTTCTTTTTAGTTCATTGCTTACTTTCATAGTTGTTAGGATCATTTGAACTTGTTCTCCCATAAAAACGGACACTGCTGGGACATAGAGCTCATTCCTGGGTAGATCACTGAACGCAATACCACTCTGATGAGTGAGACTTAAGAGCAGTTTATCATTACAAGCAAATGCTAAAAAAAGAAAGAGTGAGGGTATAAGAATATACATGAACATAGTCAACATACACATTGTCCCTTCATCAAGGTCTAGCAGACAAGTTATCTCATCTCCTTCTTCTAAGATGTGACCAAAATTCTCTGAGAGACCATCATGCCACTTGACAACCTAACAAAATACAAATAATTTAATCTTAAAAACACTATCAAGTGTGTGTGTGTACAATAGATTAAGCATACATTGTGTCCATCAATGGCGTAAGAAAAACTATCAGATCCAAGCAAAGATGAAGAGGAATAGCGTGGAATAGCCCAACCAATACGAGACATCCTACCTTTCAATAACTTCACTTTAAAAAACCTGAGAAAAGTATAAAATAGTACGTTTACATTTGTACCTTCACATTGACCAATAGTTAAATACACTATTATTAGTTTATCAGTACTTGTTTAATGTACATGTACATACCATTTTCCACTACCAGTGCAATAGCCTAGAAATTGTCCCCGGAAGGTTCTAAAAGATACTAAAGTGTGTCCGAGATCACGTTTAAGATAATCAATAGGTGGAGATTGTACAGTGTAACCAAGTGAACTCAAAACTAACAGACTCTTCTTTACTACAAGCCTAAAAAAGAGCATTTATAATGTTCTTCATTTATTCTATGCATGCATTATTCTTGATTTCTCCATTTCCATTATACTCCTCACTTACTCGTATTTCTTTTTAATGTCCAATGGTAAGCACTGATATGGGACAAGACAGCAGTCCTGCATTACTTGCGGGCGCTATAAAGTTTACAAACATAATCAAACATAAATTAATATAGATCTACATTGTCATTAAATGATTAATTAAATTAAAGAACAATCAAGTCAAAATAATAAACACACACATACATTAATGCAATGGTGCTATAGACTTAGAGTACAAATATCTTTCACTTACAGTTGTGACTCCATATTTCCATCCTTTGCTCATTCTCTCCTTTGACCACTTGTTATGCTCTATCTCTGATAACTGTGTGATCAGTGGTTGCAATGAGACTGGGAGATCATCCAGCAGCTCTAATGGACAAGGCTTGAAACCATTCAACTGTAGGTAAGGATCATCAGGAAGATCCTAAAGAAATATTGACCACATAATACACACAAACAATAAAAAAATGATTATAAATAAGCACAAGGCTTTACTCTGTACCTGATGGGAGATGGGGTGTGTGTCTGTAGCAGATATCCTACAGCCAAGGGAAATAAGTGTAGCAATGAGGTTCCTTCCCTCTTGTATCCTCTGCAGTTGAACGTCCTTAGGAAGATGAGGAAAGGCCGTGAGATTAGGAGAGGAATGACCCAAGACTATTTGTGAGACAGCCCAAGTATCGTGAGACTCAACAGCAAGGTCATTGATCAACTGGTGAAGCCTTGACGGTATAGTAACCTATAAATAGCATATGATAATACAATGCATTATAATACTTTATTTATTGTTCTTACATTAGTTAAGTCAGGTACTGAAGGACGGAACCAAACCGAGTCATTATACTGGATTGGTCCATTAAGTATCCTCTCATTAGAATCACCAACACACACAAACGGATACAAACAAATCTTCTCCTAATAAAAACAGTTATTTAGAGTCAAATTAATGCATTTATGAAAACTGAAACATAGCATAAAAGTGTCAATATGTATTTTTAAAATATTAATTTTTGATTGGTGTTGAATCATTACTTTTTTCCCATTTGCTTTCTGTTCAATAAAACAAGAAAGAGGTTGATATCCAATTGGAGGAGCAAAATATAAATCGCCATAACCAGAACCAAAACACAACCTTGCACTAAAAGAGAGAGAAAACATGAGATGCATAAATCAAGAAAAAAGAGAATATATTAAACATCATTTTCATATACTTTTCAACTCCGCCAGTAAATGATACAGCTGGTACTGCAATCGTGTTCTCATTTAAATGAAAATTAACTAGGAGTGGAAACAATTGACCATTGATGGTGAACATGAGTGTCCCTTTCTCTAAATCCAAACAACAGCCGTACACAGTTACATCCTGCTCATCTTCAGGACTCTATAAGTAAAAGGAAGAGTTTAATGAAATGAAATATTAATAATAATCATATATTACTTGTTTTTTGAATTGTCCTTTGGCCAATGGGATTGATTGAAGGCCATATTTTTCACTGTTCATCAAAATATGCTGACCATCAAATGATACAGAGCTGCCATCATCACCTATGCCTCCTTGAGTAGCCATTGATCCTTTACTCTCTATCATATAAAAGAATATATATTTATTATTTTAATAACCACTTTCTTCACATAATACACATTCCTTCATTCTCTCATTTCATTACAGGCATTAGGCTGTACTTGGATATGGAAGAAAGTTTAAGTACTGCACACATCCAATCCTAATGTATGGCTTTGTTCCAGCTGCTTCAGATCTGGTCCATTGAACCTCAAAATACAACTTAGTAGCCTCTACATTATCTTTACTGGATAGAAACACATTCGCATACATACTACAATAAGAGAGAGACAAAGAAGTGAAGTAATATAGGTATTACATGGAAGTAAATTATTATCAATAATAATAATAATAATAATAATAATAATAATAATAAGACTAAGGATGTGTACATATAAACTAACCTGTATAGTTTAGGCATCAATGATGTATGCAGCAACAGTTGGTGAGAGTCTTGCAAGAGGCGACATATTTGTAACTGTTTCTCTCTCATAGCTACACCTTGACAGACTGGGAGCCTTCCCAATAGACTCATAACCTTATAAATAAATTTATTAATAAGATATTAATAAAATAGGTGAGAGACCATCAATATTATTAAGGCCCCTATACACCAGGCAATGCTACTGCAGGCAATCTGTGGTTACTTTGATCTTCAGGCAACACTGTTGCCTAGAAAAGAAACATGTTCTATTCTAGGCAACACATTGCTTACAACATCAAAGTAACCACACATTGCCTGCAATAGAATTGCCTGGTGTATAGTGGCCTTTACATGTGTATGCTAGTACATATCATCAATCATCATCACTTAATATTAAGAGTAGAGCTCACTTTGTGATCTCTTCCATGACAGTAGAGGAGTGTGAAGAGGTGTCTGACATTCTCTTCAGTTAGTGACAATAAAACTTCAGGACTCTCCTCCAGTAGACAATCCATCACTTCAAGCATTGCTGAGAGAGAGAGAGAAAGGGGGGGAGGAGGAGGATTTAGATACAAAGAGATAAAACAGTTCTCCTTACGATGAAGTAAACTAGGATTATTGATCAGCTCAAACATGTTTTGTATGCTCTCTCTATTAGCAAACCTCCTGCAAGCCAAACGGTTCCCTTTAACAACATTAGCTGAAGGAATTAAATCAATAAAAATGAATAAATCAATCACTAGTTTACCTAGAATCCTGCATAAAGCTTGCTGGATCTGGAGTCCATTTGAAGTGACATCATGACCATAATGAGAGACTGTCTTCCTGAGGAGAGCAAACACCATGTTGGCTGTGCCATGATTCAGAAGTCTTGTCTGTCTGTTTCTTAATTTCATCAACAAATCTTGATATGTGTGAATATCTAAAGGCAGTGAATATCCATCTCTTTCACTCTTCTTCTATTGCTCTTTCCTCACTTACCCATGATTTCCTTATTTGGAGGTATCAAAAAAACTAAAGACTCATTCAATTTTGCTAAAGTTTTCTCTTCAGCTGATTCCTTGATACTTCTAATGGACCTATCATTAGTCGACTGACCCTGGATCCTCCTGAAAAATTAAAAGATTAATAATACAAGTGACAATGAGCAAAATAAAGGCTACTATAAAATACAATTTATAATGATAAATCCTTACCTCATAGCTTCAGAGAAGGCAAGCATGACAGTCTCCAGCTCATTACAGACGACAGTACTGAGTGCTATATGCATTGCCTTGAGTGTTGTAAAGCTAAAGCCATGAGGTTCGTCTGAGAGAAGAGCTCTTGGTGGTCCACTGAATCCTGTCCTGAGTCTCCGGAGGGAAGGACCCATGAGCTCAAGAGTGACCCACAACTTTGAGGAGATGTGGTAGAGGGAGACCTCAGTTTCTCCCATTTTAATGGTGGGAGTCCCCATCCCCTCTCTCTTGTAATTAATAGGAGGGACTGGGGACTAAGAGAGAGAAAAAGAAAGAAAGGGAGTGTAAGTGACATAGAACTCTTAGTACAATGTCCATGTACATTAGAAAAGTACAGGCTCTCAGAGTCACTCATATTTCACTTACTCCTTTCTTTACAAAACAGAAGCAACAAGGGTCCCTTTGAGCATTCTTTCCATCAACCAAAACAAGCTGTCGGTTCTGGTCCACTCCAAGGTACATCCCACTGACCATGTGACGCAAGCGAAAGGGTTGACCATACTCTATGAATGCCCGCCCATAACTCACACCAGAGAGCATCACCAGCCACAGGGACCTCAACTCCAGCTTGACTGATTTATCTTCGAAATAAACCATTCTAAAAATTAAAAAATGAATGCAGTATTTGTGATGAATTGTGCTAACCTTTTTGCGTCGTTAACTGCCAGTGGGTCCTCAAGAGATGAGAGTGGTATGGACATTAGTTCATCATCACGATGAGCAACCTTCAACTGTATGGGGTCTCCAGCATTGACATAACCTAAGACATGAGGATAGATTACAATGTAACTACAGTACTAATATCTGATTACCATTAAGTAATCCAGCATTTGCTGCATGGGAACGGATGATATCAATTATCCAGGTCCAAGGAGAGAATGTTGCTACTGGTATATCAGTAAAAGTATCATCCTATTAACAACAACAACACAACAATAACAATAACAACACAACAGCTACTATTATACTTACATCAAAGTCAATGCTTAAGCTGGTACTAGTGGTATCATATGCTACTGGTCTTTCATGAGGTAGAGACTGTAATCGAAATAATAGTAATAATAATAATTATTAATAAGAATAGTCCTTACCAAATATCGTCCTGTTCCAAGATTAACTAAATGTATATCATCACCAGCTTTCACCTATAAATTACAGACGTGAGGGCAATTATATTAAAACAGTTTATGAATGCTTTTATCAAATAGAATTATGTAGTAATTTAATTTTGAAGCAACTTTAAAAATTCATAATAAAATCCAATTTTGACTGGAATCAGCTTAAACTTTGTACATGATGTAAAAACATCAAGAGTAGATTTGTATTTTTAAAAATTATAAAAATTGAGAATTTTTTCAAGCCATTTTTGACAAAATTTAGCCAAAGACCCAAGGCTATTAGCCAAAGACCCAAGGCAAGGCTATAGCCTTGGGTTTTTGGCCAAATTTATGAATTTTTAAAGTTGCTAAAAAAATTGGGCATGCCTTTGGTGATTGGCCTATCTTTATCTATATCTCTCCCTCCCTCTCCTCCCTTCTCATATTAACCTTCTCTCCCTCAGAGCGCTGGTTTGTTGCTGGCCGAATAACAAACCAACAATACTCATCAACTTGAGCTGCAAAAAAATTAATCAATCACAACACGAATCCCAACCATCACTAACCTTTCTGGTTCGGTGAAGAAGAGCCAATCAAATAATGAGAATGAAAGTCATTCATCTTATACTTGCCAACTCTGCCCGCATGATGGGGCAAGCAACGTAAATATTTCTAAATAATAATAAGCAAGGGAAGAAATTAATGAGAATAGAAGGAAGGAAAAAGTAATATTAACAGGCTAAAATAATAAAGGAAGAGGAGGTCAAAAGTGCATAAGAAAGCTATTAAATCATACATGGGCATAACTCTAATTGCTTTGAAGTAACATGTACATGCTCCTAAGTATAACATAATGTGTGTATTTATATGAGGTACTCACATATCCACTGGCCATTCTTAACAGTATGGCTTGTCCATAAAGCAGTACACGGCATCCTTTAGCTTGACTCTACACGTCATAATTGAGAGTAATAATAAATACAAAACAATATTATAACTTGTCATTATAAATACAATGATTCCACTAAAATACAAACGGCCTTTGATGAGAGCTGAGCATGCAAGGTGCTGTGTGTATACAGCAGGGACAGAAATATGATGGGCATGAAATTACACTCTTTAAGCAAACCCATATAACATAGAGGGAGTGTTTATATTATGGCTTTAGTAGAAAGGGCTTAACAAGCAAAGCAGTTATCATTCCATCTAAACTCAAAGTAAAAGCTACATGCATCAGAATCATGGTCACAGTTATGTAGTTGCGTTTAAAAAATCAATTTTCTTGTCCTGATGCTGGCTCTTGAAATGGAAAAGACAACAAATAAACATAGCTTAATTGGCAAAGTGACAAGAAAAATAAATACAAACAGGAAGATTAACATAAAAAATACTCGTTGGAACATTATGTCAGTGACACATTTACACAGATCAGTTAATAATGCCTAATGATAATAATGTACATGTACTTCCTATATACCTCTTTCTCATTCCAGCCGTGTATAGCATGAGGAGATATTGCATCGAAAACCTCAAAAATATGTCTCCAAATCACAGTAGGCTCCTATTTACAAAAGGTGAGAAATAAAAGAATGAGGAGGTATCATGATCATCAGGTATGACGCTAAAAATGCAAATGCTATTTACACAAGGCAAAAAATGATATGTTTAATATTACATTTGAGACTTGTGTAGCTCACACACACACAGCCACAACAAAGTAGTTCAATACCATATGCACTGTCTATTAATTATTAACTATGGACATAATAAAATGCAATTATGGCATAATGATATTAGGAAACATTATCCCTCTCACACACACTGCAGTAGATCAAGTGTGAGCATTGCAAATAATTTGAGTATCTAGATCTACATGATGCATGAAATCAAAGATAAATGCAAATGGTTTTATTGCAATCTCATTCAGTATCAATTAGACTTATTACTGATAGTTTAATGCATGATTGAAGTTGCTGACCTGATCGTCTGACGGCTCCAGGAGAACAGTACAGTACTGCGTACCGAAACCAGTGGAAAGATAATGCTTCACTATTCTTCCAGTAGTGGTAGACGTTGCAAAACCAACGCTGTCTCCCTAAAAGGCAGGGTTAAAGCCAGAGATGGGAGCCTACAGAGGTGTCAACTCACTGTTCTTATGTATATACAGGAGTCCACATTGTCTGAAGAGGCCCCGCCGGGTCGGTCAGTGTTGCCTGTGCTTCTGTGCATTCTCTCTCAGAGCAGAAAGAACACCAACAACCATAAATATTACAACTAGCCCCACTGAGCTTTGAGGTACATCTTATTCATAAGTGATCACGTGATCAATTATTGAAGTTCAAAATTAAATTTATAAGAATGAAAACAAAAGAAGGCAGCAAAAATTCAAATTAGCAAGCAAAAATAGCTACGAATAAAAAAGCAAAAAGCATAATAATTAAGCAGCAAATCTAGGCTAAAATGTCAGCAAACAAGCAAGCAGCAAAAATATTTAAGCACACAATAAACTAGACTAATCTTGGTCTTGCAACTTTTGGACCAGGACAGCTGTCTCATTCTCTCCAGTTTCAGACTTATCCAAGTAGAGTACTGCCTCCTTCCTGGCTATACGCTTCTTCTTATACTTCTTAACACCACAACCAACAGCGGCAATAAATGCAACGCACAGTGCAGTAGAGAAAATCAATCCAATAACGATTCCAGCTACCTCACCACCAGTATAATAGCTGTGGCTTGGACTGGACGTAGTATCATTACTCACTGTTGCATTGGTAGGTAGCTCAGTTGGTGTAGCTATATCATCTTCTTTGACAAATAAAGATTGGAGATAATCGGGCCCACTGACACTGTCATTTTTATACTCAAACCAACTACCATCATCATCTTTAACCCATATCTTACCATAAGGGCCAAAGATAACCAATGATTCTGTTTTATTGACTGTCATTGGTGGCTTCATTTTATATGGTGGTACTAGTGGAGGCCTTGGTGAATACATTACTGCATCCTGAAACTGTGAGCAATAGTTCACAACACAACCTTCATCGATTGTTATCAAGAATTGATTGTAATGGTGAGAGCACTCCGTAGGAAAAGACGAGCCATATTCCAATAGATTGCTTGATGCTAATTTCTGATACATGTCTGGTGTAATAGCCAGTGGATTTCCAGACTTGCAGCTATAGAAACCGCCAAACGGTATCGCATTGTCTTCTGCTTGATCATCCCTGCTTGCACAAATGTTGATATCCTCGCCAAAATGTAGAGTATCATAGAAAGGTGGACACCTGCTAGTACGAGTCACTGGATTGGGAGTTTTACTGGTGTATAGACCACCAAACATGTATCCTGCATCAGATTGTTTACCAGGAGGAGCATAGCACCAATAAGCTTTGTAAGTAGAGAAATATATCTTTGTCGTAATACTAGCTACAGTTGCCCATTTACAGTGGGTATAAACAATATAGTTTTTGCAGTCTGTCTGTCTTTGGACTTTAATAGTAGATTGTATCATTTTACTCAATGTACCAGTGTGAAGAAGAATACTTTCATATCCTTCAGGACATGAATAATCTAATGTCAATGGATTAGTTTGACGAGCTCCATAATAGTCGCAAATCACATTGTTATCATGGTCCTCACAGGTTTGATAAATTCCTCCAAAAGTGTAATTCTGTTTCTCTTTTTCACAGGAATTATCATCTAAATTAGCATGAAAGTTGAAATTTTTGGAGTTCATATTAGTGCATCCTTTTATAGTGTTTGTTTTGTAGTATCTTTCAATAGATTTATAAATGTAATCTGATGTTTTTGTTAGTAGCACGTCAGGTAGTTCAGGGAAATTTTCACTAGTCATAGCAAAAGAAAGGAGATGACCACGACGATCGATAGCCACAAGATTATTAGGCTTGCCACTTGGTGTAATTAAAACCATAAATGTTAAAAGGAGGACCACCACGAGTTGATGTACGAGTATGATGTATAGCAGCATTAGTGCCACCATCACTAGAAGTTGATCTAGACCAACCAAAATTAGAGCTTAAAGACAAAGTGGCTATGAATCCTACTTTAATCGAATCAGCGACATCAACAGAAAGTTGCATATGATCACTTTCTACTATAGACTCTTTTGCAACAAAGCTGGTCTGATAAAGAGTACCACCTAATTCAACACTCGTCACAACATGAGTCCCGTAATCCCTTACTATCAGATCAGAGAGATAATGAGCCATTTGAGTGTCATTGTTTTGGATGTGAGCAGCAAGATCCATTAATCTCGACTTAAAGGAAGGATGCAACTGACTAACAGGATTAACGTGAACTGAAAAGAGATGGTGTCTGACTCCAAATCTAACTGAACTCAATTTTGTACTGACCATTTTCTTTTTTGTATTTTGGTACTCTGCTGAAAATTTGCCACTAGCATGTGCAAAAACGCAACTTGCACTAGCTTCAGCATTAATGGAGACACTTGATGAAGACGTGTGTTCACTATAATGTTGAAAAACCTCGGCAAATGTATCAATTTCACTCTCACGAACAGGAATCAAATTGAAATTATCAGGCAGGAAGTAACGACCATCATCAGAGACTTGACAACTGGAGTAATTCTTACTGTACACCTGACCCAGTTCAATATTACGAAGGTTATCAAATCCATGATCAGGAATTGCATCCATTTTCAATGGAGATGATCCAGGATTAACTGTCTGCTCAGTTGGACAATTACGAATATCACCAACTGGATAAGAGGAAGATGTCCCACGAATAAGAAAAATGGAAAGCAATACAAAGGTAACTGCAACGAAACTCCTCATCTTTAGCCTATATTGAATCAAGATGAGCAGAAACAAGGGAATTTTTTAGAAATGGGGGTGTGTTTGTAATTAGTGAATGTTATACCCTACTAAGCAAGGAATGTATCGGTTGATATTGCATGTGCTATGCATGCATCTCTAAAGGTGGGCATCCACTATGCAGCATTGTTGCTTGCAACTTGTGGTTAAACCTTTGATGTGGTTGTGCAACATGTTGCACGAAGTAGAGACATTCAACTTCATGCAACATGTTGCATAACCGCATCAAAGGTACTGGCAACAAAGTTGCATAATGGATGCAGAAAAGCAGCAAAAATACACACTTAGCAAGCTAGCAGCAAAGATTACAATAGAACACACAGTATAATAATAGTTTTTCAGTCTTGCAACTTTTGGACCAGGACAGCTGTCTCATTCTCTCCAGTTTCAGACTTATCCAAGTAGAGCACTGCCTCTTTTGTGAGTGATCACGTGGTCAATTATTGAAGTTCAAAATTAAATTTATAGGAATGAAAACAAAAGAAGGCAGCAAAAATTCAAATTAGCAAGCAAAAAATAAGCTAATAATAAAAAGAAAATTAAGCACCAAATCTAGACTAAAATGTCAGCAAACCAGCAAGCAGCAAAAAATATTATTAAAAGCACACAATAAGCTAAACTAATCTTGGTCTTGCAATTTTTGGACCAGGACAGCTGTCTCATTCTCTCCAGTTTCAGACTTATCCAAGTACAGCACTGCCTCCTTCCTGGCTATACGCTTCTTCTTATACTTTTTAACACCACAACCAACAGCAGCAATAAATGCAACACACAGTGCAGTAGAGAAAATTGATCCAATAACGATTCCAGCTACCTCACCACCAGTATAATAACTGTGGCTTGGACTGGATGTAGTATCATCACTTACTGTTGCATTGGTAGGTGGTAGCTCAGTTGGTATAGCTATATCATCTTCCTTGACAAATAAAGATTGGAAATAATCGGGCCCACTGACACTGTCATTTTTATACTCAAACCAACTACCATCATCGTTTTTAACCCATATTTTACCATAAGGGCCAAAGATAACCAACGATTCTGTTTTATTGACTGTCATTGGGGGCTTCATTTTATATGGTGGTACTAGTGGAGGCCTTGGTGAAAACTGTATGATGTCCTGAAACTGGGAGCAATAGTTCACAACACAACCTTCATCGATTGTTACCAAGAATTGATTGTAATGGTGAGAGCACTCCGTAGGAAAAGATGAACCATATTCCAATAGATTGTTTGATGCTAATTTCTGATACATGTCTGGTGTAATGGCCAGTGGATTTCCAGACTTGCAGCTATGAAAACCGCCAAATGGTATTGCATAGTCCTTTGCCTGATCATCAGTGCTTACACAAACTTTGATATCTTCGCCAAAATGAAGAGTATTATAAAAAGGTGGACAAGTGGTGGTACGGGTGACTGGATTGGGAGTTTTACTGGTGTATAGGCCACCGAACATGTATCCTGAATCAGCACCTTCTTGCTTACCAGGAGGAGCATAACACCAGTAAGCATTATAAGTAGAGTAGCGCATCTCTGAACGTTGACTACTTGCAGGTTGCATCTTGCAGTCAAAAATGAATTTACAGTGCTTCTTTTGGTAATAATAAGTAACTTGTACCATTTTACTTAAGGTACCAGTGTGAAGTAGGATACTCTCATATCCATCAGGACATGAATAATCTGATGTCAATGGATTTTTTTGACTAGCTCCATAATCATTGCAAATCTCATTGTTATCATGGTCCTCACAGGTTTGATAAATTCCTCCAAAGGTGAAATTCTGTCTGTCTTTTTCACATGAATTGTCTTCTAAATTAGCATGAAAGTTAAAATTTTTGGAGTCCATCTTAGTGCATCCTTTAATAGTGTTTGTTTTGTAGTATCTTTCGATAGATTTATAAATGTAATCTGAAGTTTTAGTTAGTAGCATGTCAGGTAGTTCAGGTAAAATTTG